GGTATTTTGGCTCACCCTATCAACAGGTGAGCCATCTCACCTGGTTATGGGGTATTGTTGCTCACCCTATGAACGGGTGAGCCATCACACTTTGGCTGCTCACACTGGCCGTCACATGTAACTCAGAACGGGTATCACACTCTGGACAGCGTGTGATTTGCTAGCAGAGACCTTTTTCACGTGAATCTCACGTGCCAGGTGCCCCGTGGTGTAGACCTTGACGACCAAAGTTCTCAACTTGATGGTCAAACTTCAAGTGGTATTAAAAGTTATTGATCAATACAAGATGACATCCTCTTGTTCGAGTAAGTCCTATACTCGCTACAGCCTTGGATATATGGAGAGTCTCATTAATCACATTTTTTGTTTGTTTTGTACAGGTGCCATCGTTGACTTGAAGGGTTCTTTACAAATCATGATATCTGCTGTTGCTTCGCAAAACACGGATATCACTACTCAGTGTAAGAGTGCCGGTGTGGACTTGGACTTCTACGCCCGTGTTGGAATTAAACTCGATCTCGGCGCTCAAGTTGCTGCTGTTGCAGGTGCTGGTGCTGGTGCAGGTGCTGGTGCCGCTGCTGGTGCTGGAGTTAATGTCGACGCCTCAACCAAAGTGGTTGCTGACCTCCAAGCTGCGGTCAGCGTCACGGCTGACATAGCGCCAAAGTTCAAGAGCGCCTGTGAACAGAAAAACGTCGACGTTGTTGTTAGCAGTCTAGCTACCATCAGAACCTCGATTCTTAGCTTAGGAACAAACGTCAATGCCTTTGCTAAAGCTGATGCCAATGTAAGTTCTCGTCTGCGTAATCTATTTTTCATCGTTTTCTAAATCTTCTGATGTCCATCAATTCGCAGGTAATCAGTACCAATGTCCTTAGTCTGTTTGTCAAACTGCAAGTATTGATGCGTCTTATCTCTGATAATAACCTGAGCGCTTCATGTCAAAGTGAGTGACCAATAATCGTTTCGTCCATAGTCTCAAGTCGCTTAAATTGCTGTTTACTTGTGATTCAGGCGCTATTGTCTCTCTGCAAACGCCTTTAAAAACGATCGTTGCGTCCGTCGGAGCCGACGTCTCTGCGAAAATTTCATCGACTGTAGACGTCAGCCTCTTCACCAAAGTCGGACTTGATGTTGGCATCAGTGCCAATGTCGCTGCTGGTGTAGGTGCTGGTGCTGGTACTGGTGCTGGTGCTGGTGCTGGTACTGGTACTGGTACTGGTACTGGTACTGGTACTGGTACTGGTGCTGGAGTAAATGTTGACGCCTCAACCAAGGTGGTTGCTGACCTCCAAGCTGCAATCAGTGTCACGGCTGACATAGCGCCAAAGTTCAAGAGCGCCTGTGAACAGAAAAACGTCGATGTTGTTGTTAGCAGTCTAGCTACCATCAGAACCTCGATTCTTAGCTTAGGAACAAACGTCAATGCATTTGCTAAAGCTGATGCCAATGTAAGTTCTCGTCTGCGTCTTTTCATCGACATCGTCCTCTGACTGTTCCAATATCCATCACTTTTCAGGTCCTCAGTTCCAATGTCGTCAGTCTATTCGTAAAACTTCAAGTATTACTCCGCCTCATCTCTGATAATAACTTGAGCTCTTCATGTCAAAGTGTGTGACCAATAGCTTTTTCAGCAATATTCTTAACTTGCTAAAATAACCACTGCCTTCTTTGGTTCAGGTGCCATTGTGTCTTTGAAAGCTCCCTTGCAAGCTGTGACATCTGTCGTTGCGTCTGTTGGAGTCGACGTCTCTGCCAAACTTTCTTCGGCTGTAGATGTCACCCTCTTCACTAAGGTCGGACTTGACATTGGTCTCACTACCAACATCGCTTCTGGTGTAGGTGCAGGCACTGGTGTAGGTAGTGGTGTAGGTGCTGGTACTGGTGTGGGTAGTGCTGTAGGTGCTGGTGCTGTCTCTGGTGCGGGTACTGGTGTGGGTGCTGGTACTGGTGGAACAGTAGGTAGTGGTAGTGGTGCTGGTGCTGGAGTTAACGTCGACGCCTCAACCAAAGTGGTTGCTGACCTCCAAGCTGCGGTCAGCGTCACGGCTGACATAGCGCCAAAGTTCAAGAGCGCCTGTGAACAGAAAAACGTCGACGTTGTTGTTAGCAGTCTAGCTACCATCAGAACCTCGATCCTCAGCTTAGGAACGAACGTCAACGCATTCGCTAAAGTTGATGCCAATGTAAGTTCTCGTCTGTGTCATCTGTTTTTGATCGTTTTCTAAATCTTCTGATGTCCATCAATTGGCAGGTAATCAGTACCAATGTCCTTAGTCTGTTTGTCAAACTGCAAGTATTGATGCGTCTTATCTCTGATAATAACCTGAGCGCTTCATGTCAAAGTGAGTCACAAGCAATCTTCTCGGAAACGGTACATATCGAGTAGCTAAAATGGCTGTTTCCTTCTTCGATCTAGGCGCTATCGTCTCTTTGCAAGCTCCTTTGAAAACCATTGTTGCGTCCGCCGGAGTCGACGTCTCTGCGAAAATTTCATCTACTATAGACGTCAGCCTCTTCACCAAAGTCGGACTCGACGTTGGCATCAGTTCCAATGCCGCTGCTGGTGTCAGTTCTGGTTCGGGTGGCGTTGGTACTGGTACTGGTACTGATGGGACAGTTGCTGCCGGTTCCGGTGTTCAAGCCGATACCTCAGGAAAGGCGGTGACTAACTTGCAAGCTTCAGTCAGTCTCATGACCGAGCTAGAACCAAAGTTCAAGACTGCATGCGCAAACAAGAACACCGACGTTCTTGTGAGCGGCTTAGGCAACATTAAAACCTCAATCACATCTTTGGGCACAAGCGCCAATGTCTATGCTAAAGTCGATGCCAATGTAAGCCTGAGCACATGCCATCTCTTTTTCATAGCCTGCTGACTCTTCTAGCGTCATTTTTCAGATTCTCACCACCAATGTCCTTGGTTTATTCGTCAAACTTCAAGTATTGCTACGCCTCATCTCCGACTCCAAGATGGGCCCTCCATGTCAAGGTGAGTTATCAACATTCTTTATCTTTCTCAAAGTGCTAAGACAAACATTTCCTTTTTCGATACAGATGCTATCGCGTCTTTGCAAGCTCCGTTGAAAGCCGTGTTAGCTGTGGTGGCCTCCGTTGGGGTTGACATCTCTACCAAAATCTCCGCTGCTGTAGACGTCAGCCTATTCACCCAAATCGGACTTGACATTGGTGTCAATGGCGGTGTTGGTGCAGCCGCTGCTACGGGTGCTAACGCTAATGCTGGTGCTGGTGTCGCTACGGGTGCTGCTGCTAATGCTGGTGCTGGTGTCGCTACAGGTGCTGGTGCTGCTACGGGTGCTGGTACTAGTGCTGGTGCTGATACATCTGCCAAAGTCCTTGCCGACTTCAAAGCCTCAACCAACACCGCCGTTACACTCGCTCCAACCTTCAAGACCGCTTGCGAACAGAAGAACGTTGCAGTCCTTAACCAAGGCTTGGTCAGCATCGTGGGTTCGATCGCATCCGTTGGAGCACAGGCCAACGTCCTTGCGCATGTCTCTGCTGATGTAAGTCTCGCTTAAAGCATCGAAGATTCAGCCAAATTCTAATGCTATAATTTTCTTTGCCTCAGGACCTATGTACTCAATTCTTTGACCTCTTGATCAAAATCCAAATCCTCTTGAAAATCATTGACCAATATAGCCTGGCCTCATCGTGCAAGGGTAAGCTACGGTGATCTTCAAAGTTCAAATTGTGTAGTTTTACTGACATGATCATCTGCCTTTATCTCTTCATAGGCTCGATTGTTTCCTTAAATGCTCCTTTGAAAGTATTACTCTCAGTTCTTGTGTCTGTTGGAGTCGACGTGTCGGCCAAAGCAAAGGCTTACACATCCCTTGATTTGAGCTTCTTCGCTAAAGTTGGGGTCACTCTCAACATCCAAGCCAGTGCCTCAGTCAACAGTTCGCATTGATAATCGCATCAGCTTTCTGTCATCGCAACGTAGAACCCTGAAAGGAACTACGTCAGTTACAAACACTGTAAACGAAGTTGCTTAAACTTTAACCACATATTTTTAGCAAATCGAGAAAACATGTGCGAGAATCGATATTTATGTTTTGTCTTGTATCATACAATTGTTGTCCTAGATTCTTCCCTATGAAATTGTCACAGTATCTTTATTTTCCCATAAATTCACCTTACAATGTGATTAAAGAGTTTGCACAACTTCAAGTTCAGCCCTTGGGTCCTAGGGAACCCGTTGAAATCACATAAGTACAACTGTTTGACCAACAGGTCTTCAAGCCTTCATGTGCATAGGAAAGGCAAGCTATTCTCATTTTTATGACACAGGGAAACAGATGTAATCTTTTGATGAGAGGGAAAGTTGTAAACCTAGTATAATGAAAACCTGGTCTTTAGTAGAAAACCTTGCTAATTGATGCTCCCTTGGCTCAAGTTGTGGCTGTGGTATAGCTTGGACCTTGGTATATATTCAATGGGGCTTTCTGGTCAAGGTATGACATAGGAGGGAGGGGAGCTTAAATTTGGCTTACACTGCAAAAAGCCAATGGACTAGAGGGATCAATATGGTGTGGCTGTGAATGTGTATCAAATACTGTACTTTTTACCAGGTGTTGGAATTTTTGAGAACCTGTATGATTTTGAATAGGCCCAGGAGATTTTGGGAAATGTCTCAAAAAACATGAGAAATTGGCTCTAGGTGCAGGTCTCATGCTTGTTGAGGACAAATTCCTCAATTGTATCATGGCTGTGTGTAATGTCTTGTGAACTCTCCAACATAAGCCTACATAAAATTTACCCAACCAATCAAGCTCCCTGAAACACAATATTTGATGACAATCATCTAGATTTTGACCAACAGGAGATATCCTTGGCCCTGAAACACAACATCCCAGCCCAGAACTCCTGCTACACCACGGGGTGATCCATACCACCATTTTTCAAGCGGAGATCGCCGCCGTATGGCAAGATTGGCTGGCCACTGTAGGATGGGCCATTTGGGGGCCTGTTGACTGTCTACAAGCAATATTCATACACTGATCAACAAACTGCTTTGTTCCTGCACATAGCCACAGCATCCACCCCATGTGGGTTGAGGCATCAATATTGAGGAAGACAGTGAAGAGCTCCCAGACCAAATGATGGATTTTAGAAGCTCTCCCTTTGTCAAAATCCAAAAATGTGGTGTGAAACACATCTACAGTCTCAGAGGCAAATCTGAAAAACAAAGTTTAATTTCACAGCCTCCAATTTGGTGTTCCTCGAAGACAGTTCATTGTACCGTCTTCTGCTTGCCAAGAGGCGGGTCAATCTCTTGCCTGCTAAACTGGCTACACAACCGGCTGATTTGCCGGTATAGTCTCACCATCCAAAATCTGGCCAAACGCTGAACTTTTGGCCAGCCTGTGGCCAGATTCTCACACAACCACTTTTATGCTGGTATTGCAACAAGAAGTTACCGTGTGGTTTAGTCTTTTGACCAAAGAAGGCCTGAATTCAAACACCTTTTCAACCACATGAGTTGAAAAGCGGCCGCCCAAGCGGAACCAGGACTGACTTGTTTGATGTGCATTATATGATGAGATGAATCAAACAATAGTTTGTGTTCAGCTTGTGTGTCATTTTAGGTTTCTTTAATTACCACTATCATTATCATGATTTGGTAATCTACCATTGGACTCACATCTTGGAATCCATATCAGGGATCATTTTCAAAACTCACAAACCACTCCACATTTAGTCCACAAATGCCTACATTATGATGGTTTGGGTGGTCTTGTAACCAGCTGAATATCTACCACTGAGTCACCTGTTTTCCCTACCTAAACAAATTCAGTAATCTCAGCCTTGAGCCTCTTGACCAGACAAAAAACAAAATCTCACAACAGAACAGTATATAACTGAAGTCTAAGCCTGCAAAATTCACACCCCAGCATCTCTTTGACACTTCTGGATCATTTGCTTCAGAATGTGCACAATTTATTTATGTATGAAGGTCAATATCATGTGCAAAATGTATATCATCTGGACTTATGTCCAAATGGCAAAGGAAACCAAAAATAGGACACATCTCTCAAAAGTTTTTGATCCCCATGACCCCCATTGTAATGTTGTTTCCACCCCACCCAATACCATACACTTTGAAATTGAATGAGTGATTGATTGTTGGATTCATTCATGTCATTACCAAAGGTGCCATGCGGAAAGTGACTCTCATGAGTATTAGTGAGAGCTGATACGGAAGAAGGCACCTTTTACATGACTTATCACCATCAGATCCATTATACTTTAGATATAATCTTGTTAAAGTCAGAGGAAAACAAATTTGACCTTGACCAGATAGTAGCTCCATATTTAAGTACCACCAGGACTGTGTTTTCCCCACATGGATGCAACAATGCCCTTATGTGTGCCCAAAAGCTCAAATGAAATTTGAATAAAAATCTTCACAAGACTTATCAAATTGGCTCATAGATCATTGAGAATTCTCAGAATTGCTGACATGGGATTGGAGGAAATCGGCAGAGTGAAGAGGGTTGTTTGCCCATATCTTCAGCCATGTGTGCTCACAGCTATGATTTAGTGAGAGTTGTTTCTGCAAGATCAGAACATGTTTGCAACTTAAGCAACAAAAACTCTTTTGACTTTGTCAGTGTAACCCCCAGGGGACCTTGTTTATTGTTCAGCCATACTGCAATAGCTCCAGAAGCCATGTGTTAAAGACTACCAAATATTCTTCACTCTGGTGCTACATGTAATTGGTCCTCCACAGAAAAAATTAGTTGGATGTTTACTCAAGATCTTCAGCCAAGATTCTGTCAATGCAGGACACAAAAGATGGCTGTGATTCTGAATCCACTGTAAAGTATTAAATATATGTGTGTGTTATAGATACCGGATGGGATAATTTTGAGGCAGCTCATACTAACTCATGTGACAGTTAAAAACTTTCTGAGACAACACCTCAGGTTCAGAACATACTGACAGACTACATGTCAAATATATTTGATGCAGGAAGCAGTTGTTATGGGAGATCAAAGATACATGTTTCAAGGTTTCTTTGAAAAATGATCTAGTGTGAAACCAATTTCCACAGTGTTTCCACAATTCATCACCATAACTATTCAAATGATTATTTGCACAACATTGAAAGTTCCAATGCAACTCCTTCTACTGAGTTGTGTTGGAATTTCTTTCTTTGAAATCTGTTCAGGATTTCAGATGAAACCAGGAGAAGAACCACTTCCAAAATGTTATCAGAGACAGACTTCACATATTGCAATGACCCTGAATGTGAAGGACTCAGTCAGAAATGCCTCAAACATGCACCAGCACATCTAAAAGAAAATCTTCATATCTAGCATGGTTGGTATAATGGGCCTGAAAAAACAAATCTTGAAAACACATATGATGGTCAACCACAAATATTACACAAGCATTCCCCCATTCAAGGACACTCAAATTTGATCTTTCATGCACCATCTCACCAAGAAGCAAATAGATACACAACAATGAACCAGAATGTCATATGGACTTCAAGTTTTTGACAGCTCCCATGGAATATAATATATAAATTTACATCAATCAGAGAGACCCGAATTTCCCTGAGTCAAGTGCAACAACTTCTGATGACATATCCTCCAGTGATTCCTGTGGATTGCCAATCTTGAGTAGTCATCTGTATGCCTCCACCAATCCACAAATGCAAAACTGACCATCACTGGTTTCTCAAGATATGTCAACATTCAAGCATGTTCAAAAAAAGAACATATTGCTAGACAAGAGGTCAGTACCAACTCAACCCTCTTTTATTCACACAGAGCGAATAAAGGGTCTTCAGTTATCCCAACCTCCCACAAAAGGTATGTTTTAGATAAATCTCAACTATCATATTCCATGGAAGAAAGAAGAATTCCATATATCCCAGACAATTTCAATACACATCGACAGGGTGGAGCCTGAGGCCAAGATGACAATATGAATCTTGTAGGTAATCCTAGAACTTTAAACAAGATAAATCTAGAAAGAATAGACACAGCAAATAAACCTGGCTCCCAGAAAATGGAATGCATGAGAAACCTTGCCCAACAAACAAAGAAACATATGATATACTTCACCAGTGGCATATACACAAATATCAAGAATGAAACTCTGGGAAGGTTGGTCAAAATTTTGGTCTCCTTCCTCAAGCAGATAATTCAATTTTTGGACGTACAGTCCAGGACAATGTCTAAGGTATCACAAAGTCAAACAAAGATTTTGGAAACTGTTGAATCTCATACATTGGAAGTTATGCCCCTAAAGCCAAACTTGTCTAAGTCCCATTGTGCATAAACCCTGGCACAATGGGACTTAGTTAAGTTTTCCCTAAAACATAATAGTGCCCATAGACCAGCTCAATTTTGCACTTTTCAAAGTATCAAGATTCTGGCAGTGGATATATCACCAACACTTTGCTATAAGATTTGTGGATGCTTTCTTGATTTAGGTCACAAGATGGAGATGTGATTAACCCAAGATACTGGGTGAAAAGAGCCCCAATGTGGAGTGAGAAATTTGGGAAATGGGGTGGTGATGACATTCCTTGGAATCCTCAAAGCTTTTGCATACAATAGATCCGCAAAAGATGAACTACAAAAACTTGAGGATGGCTGGGAGTCCATCAAACTTAACTAAGTCACAATGTACCAGGGTTTATACATAGCAAGCGTGAGCTGGGAGTACATGACTAAATTACGTGACCAGTGGAATGATGATGAAGTTTGTGCTTCTGGAAAATCCAACAAATACATTGAAAGGAACTGGTCCTCAAATTCTCAGTATCAACTCATCTACCTGACAGCTAAATAAGAACCTGAAGAACTAGCACTGGGATTGGTGCATAAGATGTCAATTGACTTCTCAAATTGTAGGGGAAATCCAAAAATTCCACCCAGCATCTTGTCTCAAGATTGGGAGGGGTTGGTAAATGTCTACAACCCTGATTACACATCAATAGAAGGTGGCCTTTAAGTTTACATACAGGGAAAAATAAAGAATCATTCTTTTCAAGCAGCAGAGCAATTATGAAGCTCAAAGTCAAATAAACCTGACAAGGATTTAGACTTGATAACTTTTGCTTCAAATGCTGCTCAGTTTCACACCCCATTTGGTGAGATCTGTGTAGAGAGGTTCACATGTTTTTTGAGAAGCTCAATAACAAGTTGCATGTGTTATACAGGAACTGGAACATATACCATTCTGGTCAACCACTTCAGCCTGAAGAACTCCATAAATTCAATGACAAAGATGCACTCAACATGTTTCAGATTGTCCAGGCAATCAGCATGGCACAGTACACATTGACTGTGGTATATATTGCCTTGGTAAGGGCCTTCAATGAGAAACCTGTATCTGAAGATCAACTTCAAATTGCAGTCCGTAAGTTTAATGCATGGGATTTCCTGAAGCAAAAATTTTCCCAGTGGGAAAGATTTGATTTTCAAACCGGAAATCACACATACATTTTCAACCATCATAAAAAACTCTATCAAACTCATTGTAAATGGACTACATCTTCCAAGAGTTATCTTTAGAAGCATATCCGTATATCTTGATACCACTGGTGTTCCAATTCCCGGTGTTGTTCACCTGCTAGGGTCTTGGACTATGTATAGACACAGAATTACACCAGGTATGTACAGAGAACTTTCTGGATTTCCCAGTCAAAAGATTGCCAAAAATGCCCTTTGGTAAATGGACGTCACACCTCGTCACACCTTGTCACACCTTGGAAGAAAATCTGATTGTCTGTGTGAGACAAGCCAAGCGACATAATTTCATGATTTCACTTGTCTTCTTCTGAGAAGTGGGGTTTTTCCTGATGAGGATCCAAGGAAAGGTTGTAATCATTTATAAAGGACAGAACAAGATTGCACATGGTGCTTTTTTATCGCTGCTCTCTTTGGTCCCGTCTCTCCATTTCTATCCTACTTCAGTTTGTCTACTATGGTGATGGATCAAACTTATGTTGTCAAACACTCGGTTCAAAAGCGCGATGACATCATCGTGTTTTGATCAAATAATTCGGCTGTGCTTGCAGTCTATGTTTATATTTTTTCCTTCACATCTTTCTTTAAAGAGGTCATCTACCCATCATCTCTTTTTCTCCTCACGACATTTCAATAGAAGCAATGTCAAATCGACCCAGGACAAACCATATGATGCGATTGATCTATCGTGTGGGACTACAGCAGGAAGAAAGCAGCTCATAACATAAGGGCCCGTTCCAGATAAAACATTGAAGTTTCAGCAAATAAAATCTGTTGACCGCGGCGATCAAAATCGATCTACATAGTTGATCATTCATGAGACGGCTGTAGTGTACGACCGCTACACCTTCCTCACACAGACTGATCGCCAAGGAGAGGTGTGGACATCCACACGAGTCGAGATAATCATTCAAGGGTTATTGAACGTATAGACAGTCGGATAGGGAAACAGGGATGGTGTGCTGAGGAGTGAACCAGGGGTGCGAATCGACAAACTGAAGTCACCGGCAGGGCATGGGAGTGAAACTGGTGTCAACCATGTGAAAGGTAAAATTATTGAGTGTGTGACCACAGCTCAGCCGAAGACAATCAGAATTGAACACAGCCGCAGTTCAGCGCAGGAAGGCACGGGCCGCATTACACGTGGACACCTGGCTTTAACCACATTTGTTACACTTGTTGCATCATTTACATACACAACGCAAGAGATTCGCACCCTTTTCAAAACCCCCTGCTTCGAATCAAGGTGACTTGAACATACATAAAAGCGACTAGCCAAATTGCAATTCACTGCCCCTTCGTGTGCCAAATCTACACTAAACCGTTTTCACCCATCTTCACCATTCATTTGAGTGCTCTGAGGTCCGCGCCTGTCGTCACCTCCCTTGAAGCGTGCATCCCCTTTGAGTAAGGCTGTAGAATATAAATCGCGCTTCTCTGGAGCGCGCTTCCCCCCCGCGTATCCTCAGCTTTCCCCCACCAACAACAACCGCGCCGCCTATTTGAAGAATCTGTACATCCCATAGCTTCATCTCACTATTCATCTCCCTTCAAGCTCTCTGACACGCTGGGCTTTGGGAGAGGTCATATTCCAGTAGCTAATTTTTGGTGCCTCTTTCTTGCCTGCCTCTTACAGGTATAACGTAGATTCGCCGGCTTGTACGCCGATCAAGAGCCGCGGATACACTCTTCCCACCGAAGGTCTTCGGCAGCCGGTACCTCTGCAATTCCTAACCTCGATTCCCTTTGCATGTCCACGATCGGCACACACAACACAGCAACACACACGTATCACACTCCTAGTCTCTAACGTCAGATATCCACCCCCCACCCTCACCGTCTTGAACTGACTGATAAGCGTCGTCATTGGCAGAAGCTCCCGACCCTATCCCCTCAAAGCTCTAGGGCTATACTAGCCTCCTACACCCTTCTCGCCATCTGCTGTGTCAGATCGGACCTGGCCCGCAGGTGCGGGGCCTGCTGCTACCATGACTACTCGGTCAGTGATCTCATCCCTCCCCACTTTTTTGAAGTCACAGTACAGATTAGGCTAGCCTGTTATGTTGCAAATCACCCTAGAAACCTTTACAATCGCTTTTCTCCCATCTGACTTCAAGTTTCACCACCCTGATCGAATCTACAGCGCATATACTCATTCACCTGTGTTTTCTTGACCGTCACCTTCACGCTTCCCTGCGCATCTCAACCTACTCAGGCTAGACCGTCTTTTGCTTCTCTTGGACACTGGATCAACACCTTCTGTCCGTGTCACTGCTGCTCGTCAGCTTGGTCAAATTGCGGCTCAGACTATTCAACATGCTTCTGCTCTTGCCGCCACTTCCGCTCCTTCCGCCACCTCGATCAATATTCCTGACTGGAGAGGAATCGATGGCGAATGGAATGAAATCGTCAATCTCCTAAGTCGTGTCCTGCCCTACTTGCGTTCGAAGAATTGGGAAACTCGACTGGCTGCTGGGGAGGCCGTCGAGTCCATTGCGAAAGCCGTCGGTGTCTGGGATCCATCCGTCAGTGAAACTGATACTTCCGATCAGCTTCAATCACCTGTGGACTCCAAACCTACCAACCTGGTCACTCCAGATGCCAAGAGCGCCACCAATCGTGTTGGCCTTAGGTTCGACACCTTTGATCTTGATGCCGTGCTACGCGAAGGTACCATTCTACTCTCGTCAGCTGGCAAGGAGTTTGATTACCGATCATCTCATCCACGTTCCCATGAGACCTTGATGGCCGCCAAACGCGACGTTGCCAGCAAGCTAGGCCTTGGTCTAGGCTGTTTCGGAGGTCTCGATATGGACTCAGTTGGCATGGATGTCAATAAAGAACTCGAAGACAGTACCAATGGTTCAACTCTCGTCCAATCCCCTGTCGCTGTTTCGCACTCTCCCCCACCGACGGACGCTGATGAGCGTTCCCCGCTCCATCCTTCAGTTTCGGTTCCGCCCACCTCCCAACTGCCTTTCAGCAACCCATTGAATTCTGAAAGGCCTTGCACACACCCAGATACTCATGGACAGCAGTATATCTCGACTCATAGCCCGTCTTTCACTGACGAGGATGCGTTGACGACCCAATCCACTCCTACCACCACACTCATTCCCCTTCCAGCAACTGCTACTCCTTCTGCGGAGACTTCCGAACCTAACTTGGAAGGACTATCGGCTAGGGAGCGGAACGCGATGAAACGAAAACGTAAGGCATTTGGAAAGGGCAATGTCTCTGCGGCCTCTTCCGGCTCTATCTCAAGTGCTCTTCCCGCGTTTACAAATAACACCTCATCTACCCTGCAAAATGGCGCGATACCAACTTCCGGACCTGCCAAGTTACGCATCATCGAACAAGCGGGGTCATTACCGGGCGAAAGTCCCTCTCGGATTGCTGTACCAGCCCTGCCTCTCACCAACACAGAACTCCAAGCCGATCACCCCTCATCAACTTTACCTTCGATTGAGCTCTCCAAGGAGAATGTGGTTATCATCGATCCCGGTGCCAAGGCCAAAGCTCGAGCAGCTGCCGAATCTGCTAAACAAGCGGGCGGGGGAGAGGTCAACACACCAGCCAGTACAATGCAATCCGATCATCGACTTCAGTACATCGAGGGCGAATGGCCCTTTTCATCCTTTGTAGAGGTCCTGATGATCGATATGTTTTCTTCTCAATGGGAATTTCGTCATGGTGCTGCCTTGGGTCTCATCCCACTTCTCAAGATTCAAGGCTTTGGTGCTGGTAAACATGTTGGAGTAACTCGTGCCCTCAACCATCACCATCACCAAGTTTGGATGGAAGACCTTGGTCTTCGGTTGATCTGTATGTTATGCCTGGATCGATTTGGCGACTATGTGGGGGATCAAGTGGTGGCGCCTGTGAGGGAGACCGGTGCTCAAGGCATCAGCTTAGTCGCGAAATGGCTGGATCGAGACCGTCTCGAAAGAATCTTGGAAGTGCTCAGTGGTATGGTTGAGCAGAAGAATGCGAAATCACCGGGTCAAAGAGGATATGTGTGGCAAGTGCGCCATGCCGGCCTCATCGGAATGAAATATTTGATTGCCGTCAAGATCAACGACTTGCGTGACAACTTTAAGCTCGACTTTATGGGGCCAACTCAAGCAGCTTGCCTCAAGAGTGATGACGAAGAATCAAAACCCGTGCTAACAAGAAACCCTGAAGATCCAGATGAGACGATCATGAAGTTGGACGACCCTTCATCCGATCAAGTCATCGCCGATCCACCTGTTTCTACCAGTCAACAAGCTTCCAGTCCCCCTGCGTTCCCAAACCTACTTTCGATCATCACAAAGTCTTCATTGATCGGACTGAGAGACCACGATGATGATGTCCGAGCTGCTGCCTCCGGAGCCCTTCTACCTGTCACGGATTTGATCGTTAAAGGGCTTCCGACCATGCTGGCCGAACTATTGGATGTCTTGTGGGACGCGCTTGGAAGTTCCAAAGATGATTTATCAAGCTCTGTCGGTAACATCATGGATCTTCTAGGTAAGCATACTTGTGATGCCCTTGTTCGTACAGAAATTGTTGCTCATGTCTCATTAACGTCTGTTTATCTTAGCCAATCTGATCACCTACCCTAGTGTGCTGACTCAATTGTCCAGTTTCGCCGGCCGGAGTCTACCTACGCTTATTCCCCGGCTCTTCCCCTTCTTCCGCCACACCATATCCAGCGTTCGATTATCCGTTGTCAAAGCGCTTGCTGTTTTCCTTCGCATGCCCGATCTCGACCTTGGATCTTGGATTGATGAGAAGGTTTTATGCCTCATGTATCAAAATATGCTAGTCGAGGAGCGCCCCGACATCCGGTCTCTTTCAAATCAGCTTTGGAATGCTATGATCGACGAGTTGGTCGAGAAGCCAGAAACGACTCAGATGTTGATAGAAATTGTTCGTTTGCATATTGCCGGATGGTTTCAACTCGTCACAACACCGCGCACCAAAAAACTAGACGCTACCCTTTTCTTTACCGCGATTCCCAACTCGAAATATACGGCAGCTCAAGACTTACACCTGATTCACAACGTCGACAAATCGATCATGGCACAAGATCTATCCCTCGTCTCGATCGATGACATCATGCGCGGTCGGTTGGCTGCTGCGAAAGCTTTGGGCCATCTGATGTCAAAGCTCACTCGACTAGATCAACTCCAGCTGTTTACTGAAGCAATACTGACGGCATTGGACTCGGAATTCGCTCTGCCTCGGATGATCTCAGCCATCATGTTGGAGGATTGGGCGTTGGACTACGCTCATGCACCCTCTGGCGAAGTTTCAGAAGTTAACCTGGGACAAATCGAAGCCATACAGCCCATATCTAACAAGCTGCGTTCTTCGACACTTTTCACTGGGCCTAGTATCACTTACGCCGAATTGGAATCATATCTAGCAGGTATCAAGAAAGACTCTGAAGGACTCTTTGCTACGTTTGCCAGTCTGGGAAAAGTACCAGCCGAGAAGATCCCTAAATTACCTGCCTGCGATTTCACTATCGAGTCGGCGCTGAAGGTGGTGAATCAAGACTACCCTGCCCTCATACCACTCGTGGGTCGAGGCTCCAAGAAGATGGCGATTGCTAGCTTGGAAGACAGGCGCAGGAAATTACAGGATGTCATCGGCATGTATGAAAAAGATCGGGTGATCTTCGATACTCAATTGGACGCAACTGTCGCTTCAGCCGTTGTGGCTCTAAGAGAGATTCCAGGCAAAATATCGCCGTTGATCAAAGGTTTGACACAAAGTATCAAGGTGTGTCCGATTTTTTTGTTTGTATGACTTTTACTACTCGTATGCTAAGCTTAGCCTGGTCTTTTAGAACGAGACGATTATCGATTTGCAGACTAGATCAGCGAACGCCCTAGCGTCCTTTGTAGACATCTGCACCTCTCCCAATTCACCTGTCAAGAACGATCCTACGGACAAGATCATCGGTAACCTATCAACCTACCTTTGTCAAGACGAGTCTCAAACACCGACGTTTGTCAAGGGCAAAGCGAGCAAGCGCGGGATCTTTCTAGCCCAGGACAACGGTATACGACCTTCGACAGGTGCCAGTGACAGCGGGCTGACTTCCGAAGCATCATCAGATGAGGCTAGCTCTCAAGCCAAACTGTTGAGACGTGGTGCTGAACTAGCACTATCGTCACTGGCTGCAAAATTCGGGGATGATCTAATTGATCGAATTCCAAAGTTATGGAACTGTATGTCTGAACCTCTTTTGACGCTGTTCAACACCGGTGATGTGGAAGCGGCAGATCAGCGAATGGAGAACGAGCCCGCCCAACCCAAATTAGGACAGGACCTACTCGATTGTCTTACCGTCTTACCGGCTGTCGCCAGCAGTCTACCACTCTCCTCTCATCCCCGTTTGGCGACTCTCTTCGCTCCATTGTGTCAAGCTACTAGAAGCAAATTTTCAGTCGTTCGGTATTCCGCTGTCAAATGTTATGCTGCACTATGCAGCTTTCTGCCTGATGAAGGTCTTCATGAGGTCGTTACTCGTGTTCTGCCCTTGATTGCCGATCCCCTCAACCTTGCTCATCGGCGGGGTGCGATTGAGATGGTGTCAAGTGAGTATTCGTTCCCATTTGGTATATTGAGTATATCCAAGTTTCATTACTGACATTCGCTCGATGCGCAACTTTCGTATTCAAAGGATTGGTCGAGGTTTTAAATATCAAGATCCTGGCATACATCATCTTCCTCATTGTCCCAGTTCTAGGCAGGATGAGCGATACTGATGACGACGTTCGATACGTGGCTACACACACGTTTGCTTGCCTGATCAAGCTCATGCCACTCGAACTCGGTGTCCCAGACCCACCGGGATTTTCACAAGAGATGCTCGAAAAGCGGCAATCGGAACGCACTTTCTTGTCTCAATTGTTGGGAGGTAGCAAGATTGAACAATACGAAATTCCTGTAGACATCAAGGCTGACCTAAGAAAATATCAACGAGAAGGCATCAGTTGGTTGGCGTTTTTAGCAAAATATCAATTGCACGGGGTACTTTGTGATGGTCAGTATCTTATATATAAGTCATATGTATTCATTCAGCTCACTAACCTTTTGTTTTTCTTAGATATGGGTCTGGGAAAGACACTTCAATCGATATGTATCCTCGCTAGCAAACACCACGAACGAGCGGAGCTACACAAACAAACCAAATCGCTAGACACCGTCCACCTACCCTCCTTGGTCGTCTGCCCGCCTACTCTGACTGGACATTGGGCACATGAAATCAAAACGTACGCTTCGAAACTTAAACCGTTGCTCTATGTCGGTGGGCCACAAGAGCGATCATCCTTGGTCAAAAAGATCAAGAAACATGATGTGGTCATCATGTCCTACGATATCGTGCGAAATGATATCGAACAACTGTCAAAAGTCTCTTGGAATTATTGTATTCTTGACGAAGGCCACATCATCAAGAACGCAAAGTCAAAACTTTCCAAAGCCGTGAAGATGTTAAAGGCTAATCATCGACTAATCCTCTCAGGCACTCCGATCCAGAACAATGCCCTCGAACTATGGAGTTTGTTTGATTTCTTGATGCCTGGGTTTTTGGGTACGGAGAAATACTTCAACGAGCGATTCGGTCGACCGATCAGTATGAGTCGAGATGCTAAGAGCTCGACCAAGGAACAGGAGGCAGGTGCGTTGGCGTTAGAGGCCTTGCACAAACAAGTCTTGCCTTTCTTGTTGAGACGTTTGAAAGAGGATGTGTTGGATGACCTACCGCCGAAGATCATTCAAGACTATTATTGTGAATTGTCTGCATTACAAAAGCAACTATACGAAGACTTTTCGAAATCGCGAGCAAAGGACGAAGCAGAAGGCCTAGTCAAGAAATCGAAGAATGCAGCCAACGGACAAGATCCATCTTCACAACACGTCTTCCAAGCATTACAGTACCTCAAGAAATTGGTCAATCATCCCGCCATGGTTATTCGACCTGAAGTGCCTCAGCATCAGGCCATCATCAACAAACTCGGATCGAAAGGATATCGTGATATCAGCCACGCTCCTAAACTTTTGGCTCTTCGTCAAATTCTCAGAGACTGTGGAATCGGTCTGACCACTGCGACGACTCTCATTGAAACTGTTACTGAAGATGGCGCAGGAACGACGACGAGTGGCGGCACCATTCCTCAGCATCGGGTACTGATCTTTTGTCAAATGAGGGAGATGCTGGATATCATCGAGCACGATTTGTTCAAAAATCATATGCCCACGGTCACCTTTATGCGTATGGATGGTACTACAGAGGCATCTAAACGACATGATATAGTTCAAACTTTCAATGCTGACCCAAGTATTGATTGTTTACTGTTGACCACCCATGTCGGTGGTCTTGGGCTCAACTTGACCGGAGCTGATACGGTGATCTTTGTGGAACATGATTGGAACCCGATGAAAGATTTACAGGCCATGGACAGGTGAATCAATAATTTCCTGATCTAATTGATATCTCTGGCTGATGTGATCGTGTGTTCAATGTTTATAGAGCGCATCGATTGGGTCAGAAGAAAGTTGTCAATGTTTACCGATTGATTACTAGGGCGACTTTGGAAGAGAAGATCATGGGGTGGGTTTTCTTTTTTAGAGTGAGATCTTTGATGGTGAAGAATGAAAGACTGATAGAATGATTTGATTTGATTTGATCAATGAAAGCCTTCAACGATTCAAGCTTAATATTGCCACTTCGATTGTTAATCAACAAAACTCGAATTTGGCTTCATTAGATACTGATCAAATCCTTGATCTCTTTGCGATTTCTGAATCAAAACCTGAATCGACGATCACCTCAACAACTAACAATAGTACTGGGCTTGAAGGAAGTGGATTGAAGAAGAACTTACTCGATGGTCTTGAAGCACTACCACCTGAGAGCGAGTATGAATCACTTGATCCGGCTAAATTTGTAGCCTCATTATGAGAGCTCTGAACAAGAGATGAAGTAGACTAAAAAAACTAGTTTGAAAAATTCTGCTTGTTAAAACAATCTTTAAAAAACGTTGTTTTCGAAAGTCTAATTCCATTATCAAGAGAGAGAGAAAGATAGAGTGGTTGTAAACTTTTCTATTTCGACTGTTCTGTTTTTGATTTTAAAATTATTTACATGGATTTTGTTTGATATATATCTAATCAAAGTTTTTTTAAAAAATGAGATCCGTTTAAATATCTAAATGGATTTTCTATAAATGAACTTTTGAATGATATATAAATCTAAACAGATATTATATATAATAACGGGTGTTGTAACTTTAAGAGAGTTTTGATGATAGAACAAGAGCGTTGCTAAACTTTTCAAGCTTGCTGCAGTGTACTTGGTATTGAACATATTTGTAACATCACACTCTGATCACTTTTTCATGAATAGAAAAGTAATCCTGGAGAGCTTTAACCTTGAGAAATTCAGAACAGATTTCACCTTTCAGCTTATAGAAAGTGATTTTCTTTAACCCCTTGTGATCGAAATCACTCTTGATCTCCTCTGTGTGTGGGTTTCCAAGAAACACCATTTTAACTTTAACAAACTTGTCAGACCCTTGTACAAAAGATTCATGGAGTTCTATAACAACTTCTTTTTTGGAATTTAAATGAACCTACAGAATTTCTCAGCGGACAGGGAAAAGAAACTTCAAAAATGAACCATACTTCACCAAAGCAACACTTTGAATTTTGTAGAATTTAATTTCTGATCAGAAATTACTTAAGTGAACATACCCTCATTGTCTTTCAGACTTTAGGAAACACACTATTCCACACTCAAAGTCAAACTCATCAAGATCCATATTCCCAGGCTGACTGTCAACAAGTTTTTGACTCTACTGATTCACAAGAGATCTTTTCCCACAACTCTATCTTGGACTCTCATTTTAACCATACAAATCTTAAATTTAATTATAAAGAACACATCACAAGAAAAAAAAAACAGTAAATCATACAAATTAAAAATCCAACAGAAAAACAAAACAAAACAGAAGAGGTTTTTCCATTCAAAGAGAAGATAGACAACCAGAAAAATGAAAAAGTGAAAAACCAAAAAAATCATTCAACTTCAATACCAAGAAATCTATGAATGAGAATAAAAAGGGATAATGATTTTTTGGGAATTGATTGAATGACGGTGGTTGTTTCTAATTATTGTTAATACATGTATCACCATCTTTAGAAGAATAAAAAACATCAAAGATTTTCTTAGAAGTGATTTTCCCAATAGCTTTATTACTATTACCTTTCTATTCACCCCCACCATCACCAAAAAAAACCAAATCAATTCCAAACTCCAAACTCCTCAATTCCAAAAAAAGGAAAGCAAAACAAAGAACAAACCTTACAGCCCACCAACATATCCTCAGCCCCAACTAGATCATTCCTACCCACCAATGAATCCCAAGCCGAAAACAAATGATTTATAGTGGGAAACCTTTGAGCAATCGCTTTGGATTCGGCTTCGCCTACACGTGGTAAACATTTTAACATTTTTAAAAACGTATCTTCTAAATCTTTTCCTTTGTTTCCTTCGATTTCTAAATTCAAATCGGATTTTAATTTTTGTTTTTTAGCTCTAAAATCAAAAACCAAGATCATCAAACAAAAAAAAAGTCATCAGATATAGGGATCATTTAGAATTTTAAATCAGGTGTAAGAAATCAAATCTGAAACTTCACTTGTATGGTTTAATTCCAATCTCATAAGACAATTCCCATAACCAATTAGACAACGAATTACAATCTTCTACTTTCAATACATGACACTTCGTCAAGATCTTAATCATTTCAATTTGTCTTGAAATCTCATCCATCGAATTCTTAGGTCCAAGATCTTGATGCTTTCTTTTTTTCGAATTAGTTGTGGCAGTACTTGTGGATGATTCTCCTCTAAGATCAGATCGGATTTGGTTTTTGATTTGTAAGTTTTGTTGATTTTTGGCAAGTCTCATCAAGTTTTCTAATCCATAAATCATAATAAAGATCTATCAATAAATCAAATCCAAAAAAAACCAAATCAATTTTTCAAATCCGATTCATATTTTTTCCAAATCATTCATAATCACAAACTTGATACTCAGGTTTATCTTCACGAATCGATTTAGCTCTCATCAAATGTTCACCATTCCCATCAGAAATCCAATCATCAAGTTCATCAGCCTTCCAAACCAAAAGCAAGCATTCTTCAACAATTTCTTTCCTTTCACAAGGTTCGAATCGATTTGTAGATTCGTTCCATTCTTTTTGACAAACTCTAATCCATTGAATCGATTCGTTTTCTGTTTCATCTAGGATAGGCATTGACATCTTGTTACCTTCTTCGGTTTGGATACGTGATTTGAAGAGATCGATGGATTTGCTGATCGGATGTGAGGTTTGGAGTAGTACTCTACTTGGCACTTTTAGCCGGATTTCGGTGATGGCTTCTTGACGTGTTAAGAGTTTATTCACATCTTTCAAATCTTTTGCTTCAGCTTTTTCTTGATCTTTTGCTAACTAAAGTCAAAATCAAGTGAAAAAATAAAGTTTTTTCTTTGAAACTCAGTCATTCAACTTTTCAATTGAAAATGAATATGAAAAAAAGAAGAATCAAATGAATGTTTAAACTTTACTTTTTTAGCTTCTTTTTCTTTTTGTAATTGTTCTTTCTTCTTTAATTTCTCAATCTCTTGATTCGCTTTGGTATTCTTCTTAACCAAACTCACACTCGAGCTCGTTTTTTTCGTTTCTTTTGTTTTCTCTTTCACTAAAAAAACCAATTCATATTTTTAATAGCAAATCAAACACGTGAAATGAGATAAGACTAACGAGTTGGATTAGAAGTAGATTGAAAGGACTGAAGAGGTCGAGAGACCGGCCGTTGGAAAGAGTTTGTTTCTTGACTAAACAAAAGCTCAGCTTCAGGTAATTCGTCATCGTCGTCGTTGTTAGGATGATTCATATGAAGACCAAAATCATCGTGTTGATAATCGAATGGATCATCTTGAAGACGATCTTCATCTGTATCACTCAATTCGATAGCTTTAGATTTTCCTTTCTCTTTTGTACTTGTTTCGTGATTCGAATGAGATCTGAGTGGGTTTGGATCTGGGTTTGGGTTTGATCTGATTGGATTTGGTGTACTGTTTGTTCTTCTTACTGGGATCTGGTTTGGTTCATCATCAGAACTTTCAATCAAGATTGAAACTTGTCTGTCGATAGAATCATATTAACAAAAGAAAAGATTAGAGTTTATTTAGTAGGTTATGATGAGATTGAGAAATAGACTGACGTGTTGAGTTGTGAATGTTGATTGAGTGTTGGATTTGATTTTGGTGATGAAGTGGTTGAAGATGGTGAGGATGGTAGTCTTGATGGTTTTGGTTTGGATTGATTGATGATTTCGATTTCTGAACTTGAACTACAACTTGATGATCTACTTGAGTTTAATGTCATTCTGTTAATCTGTCTTTCAATACCTGAACAGGATAGGTTGAAGTTAAAATCAGTTTGGTGAATGGACAATGGCAGTTGGAAGCTGTGAAGAAATCAAAAGATAAATTCGAAAAACTTTTGAAAGACAAAAAAATTGAAAATTAATTCGAAATTTAAATTGTTTCAAATTCGGTACAGATTTACATTTTATCAAATCACAGAACAGAACAAATCTTCACAACAACAACAACCCATTCAGCATCTTCAATCAAACAAAAAAAACATCAAAAACCCGATCCCATTCAACCCCATCCACCCAAATCAATCAGAACCACCATGAATCTAAACCCAAAATTCGCATCAGTATCCAACTCTCAACACTAAAGGACCAAAAACATCAAAACTCAACTATTTCAGATAAACCAATAAACCGATCCAAACCATTTATCAAATAATTGTCCTTTAAATCCAAAGGACCATCAGGGTTCCAAAGAATCAATTTATCAAACTGGCCTACTAATTCCAACGTTTTAGTTGTTGTTGTTAAAGGTTTAATTTGAGATGTTTCAAGAAGAGTAGGTTGAAGTGATTCCTGGATCGGTTCTTCTTCTTCTTCTTCTTGTTCGTAATGAGGAACCGATTTAGTTTCTAATTTAGTTTTCTTATGATGTCTTTTGGATTGATTGATACCAGTAGACCTAGAAGGTCTACCCCCCAGCTTGCCCACCTCACCCTGACCATCCAAATCCGAAACTAAAGCTTGGTTTGAAGTATTAGTAGGAGTGTTGATGAATGTACCGTAATAACCATTTGGTAAATCTAGGGTTGTACCATGGATGTATCTTCCTCTGAAACTAGATTCTTGGGTCTTGTTGTCTGATTTTGTGGGGATAAAGTAAGTAGAGATCTCGGATTCTCCGTGATGGTTTATGGAGAATGGCATGAGATTTAGTTCTAGATTTGTACTTGTTGATTGATGGGTGGGAACGAGTTGATAAGTTGTTGGAATGGGAAATGGGTCTTGGGGTTTCTTGGATGGGTCCTGAGGGAATGAGATTGGATCAGTTTATGGGTTGGGTTTGGGTTGGGTTGGGTTGGGTTTGCTTACCATTTTGTGGTTGGTGATGGATTCGAATTGTTCAGTTGATTGTGGGGAGTCTTGTTGACGGTCACCGATCGAAGTTTTCTCGAGTGCAGTGTACCCGTCAAGATCCGGTGACCGGTGATCCGCACCGGTACCACACGGTCACGACTCACACCCAAACCAAAAACACACGTCGCGTGTTTTAAGTTTTGATCGAAACACACCAAAAACCCTCAAAAACCCAAAAAGACAACATCTCATTCTCAACCAAACAGTCCGACATCGTTTAATCAATCAAAACCCATCAAAATGTCATTTCCAACCCTAAGTTCAAGTGAAATCAGTTCAGCCTTTAAAGATTTCGGTTATCCCATCGATTTAACGATTGATGAAATTAACAAACCGATTCCCGTCAAAGTTCATTTCACTTTCGAATGGATCTTATCACATTTATGTAATATTCATAGAGAACATATTCATGAAGCTGTTGAAGAACCTTTAACGAATGTCCATCATCAAGTAAGAGAAAGTGTTTTTAAACCCGATTCCCATTCCAAACCTGGCTTTCATTCGAGTTGATCTTTCTGATTTTGGGGGTATTAGACGTTTTACAAGTATAGAGTCTTTACAGGTTGTTTTAAAGATACGTTGGTCCAATTGATGAGATGTGCAGCTATTTATGATTTCTCAGATCGAGATTTATTGAACCCAACACCTGAAAGATATAAACGAATCTTAAGTGGATTGATTAATTTTGTTTTGTTTGAAACTGAACAAGTTCCATTAGTCTTAAATCCATTAGAAGAATCTTTAAATGATTTACAAAACCAACGTGATGAACTTTTGGAAAGGATTTCGAAATCTAGGAAAGATAATTCTGATTTAGAGTTTAGTGATTTTTTTTTTGGATGATGGTTGTTTTTGGTCGAAGGCTGATGAGGTTTTTTTGGATTTTTGGTTTTTGGAGGTTAGTCGGAAACATGAAGAAGAAGAAAGGATTGCGGGTGAATTGATTCCACAGATTGAGGGATATAAAGCTACGATTTTGGAGTGTAAAGATATGACAGATCCATTGGAACAGAGAAGAGCTGAATTATTGAATACAAGAAGAACGATTTGTGAACAAAATGTAAATGAAACGAAGCTTGATTTTTTTGAAACCCACAGATTTTGAATGACTAAAAAAGCTGATGAAAGAATGTTTTTTTGGTTTGGTTTGGTCATGATTAAGCGTAATGCAGTAACCGAAGTCCAAAGACTAGAAAACGAAATTAATAGATTATCAACCCGAATAGCCAGATCACCCGAAAAAGTAAAATCAGCCATTGAATCATTACAAAAAACGCTAAGTTCGGAATTAAGTTCGATTGCTTCATTAGAATCGAATTCACATTATTTAGAAAGAAGAATTAAATCGATTGATCAGTATCAAAAAGATTTACTTCAATGTTTGAAATTAGCAGATGAATGGGAAATCGAAACTCTTAAAGTTGAAGAAGTTAAGAAAACTTTGAATTCACTTAATGAGGAGTATGAGAGTAAGGTTTTTGAATTGAATGAGATTGAAAAAAAATCATCTGTATGTTTCTAACCAACCCCCCTAAAAAGATAATCAATTTACTTGAACTGAACTAAAAATGTTCATTCTTTTTCGTTTGATGTGAATCAATAGCAAGCACAAAGAAGAACTGAAGTGATGCAAGAACAAATCTCAAGAGTCCATTCAGGTATCCATCGAAAAAGAAAAGCCGGGATCGAAAGACAAACGAAAACCCAAGAAAAACATTTAGAAGAGATTGAATTCCAAACCGAATATGAAAAAGAATCTCAAATCTTAACGAATGAGAAGATGATGTTGATCTCAGAAGATAAAGATTTAGCAGAAGATTATATTAGAAGTATGAAGAAAGGTCAAGCGGCTTATGATACGCTTAGGTCTGAACTTTGTAAGTTTGATGTGGATCTTTGGTTTGGATTGATGTGCTTCTTTTTTTGGGAGGTTTGGAGTATTGAGAATTTTTGACTTCTTTTTTTTGACCGGTTTTTAGTGCATTATTGTATGAAACATACTACTGCACTTACAGCTGTGGAAAATAAACTTCAAAATATTTCACTAGGGAACGGGGGTCATCCAACAGATTAAATACTCATTTACTTATACTACTTTTTTCTTCTTTATACCTCTTGACATCATCATTTTTTCATTTTTTCATAGTGTTTTTCTTGCGCGTTTGTGTGTATTGAATGTTAAAGTAGAGTGAAAATGTGTGTACGAGTTATAAGTTTCTTGTTTATTAAGTACTTCGGTTTAGGAAGATTTACAATCGAGTTTTAGTTCAAGGTTGATTGGAGGTTGGTGGTCAAGGTATTGGACGTAGATCTGTTTTTTTGGAATTCGGAATGTAAAGTATTTTGAAGTTTGGGGTTTTTCATAACCAGGCTAGTACATTTATTTTTTCGGAATTAAGAAGATCTTTTAAACCTTTTAATTTGATTTTCATTTTATCCTGAAGGTATGGGACCGGAGTTTATGCGATGTGTTTGTTTTCTTAGGTTCGTTTCGTGAATCGTAACACAAAGCTATGTAGTTCAATTCATTTTAAGAATTGAAACTGGTTCTTGAAGAAATCATATTAGAAAATCTAAAGGAATTCTTAACCCTTGAAACATTGGATTTGATTTTTTTAGTTGAATTGATTTTAGAGTTTTATGGTCGGGAAATGGATCTTGCTTTTTTTAAGTTCAAACGGTTTTCGATTGGTTAGTTTTGGATTTCATGATGCAAGAGGTGTTACTATTAGTGAGGTTTGTTGAGTTCGGGTGGGGTAACGGGTGGAGTGGGTTGATGCGTTTGATTTATTCTAGGTGATGAAAACGTGTTTTGAGAAGGATTAGAAATAAGTGCGATTTATTGATGTTTTGGGGAAGATCCATTAATTCTGATTCAGAGGTACATGGAAATCTATTGGGAATTTATATGATCATTGGGATTTGGTTTTGATTTATTGTCATCTTTGGTTAGTAAGTTTAAGTTTGGTTTGGAAAACTCGTAATGATTTATTGATTTGATTTAATTTGATTTGATTTTTGGGGGGGTACATATGTGTTTAGATTTTCTTCTAAGAGAGAAATTTTAAAAAAGAAAGGAAACAAGGATTCATAAGAAAGATAACCAATTATTTTAGGAAACTAGTCAAGATCGGATTCAAGAGAGCAGACGATTTAAGGGATTTTTTTCGAATAACAGAAGAAAGATTGAAGATAACTTATTTATAAAGAGTATAAGCAGGAAAGAATTTATTATCAATTCATACAAAAGTCAAGATGAAGTTTGGAATCAAGACTACAAGATGGATGATGAAGATGATGATCATGTTTCAATTGATAAGGTTTTCAATCAATTTGACTATCAAGACCACAAGCTTAAATCATCCAAGTAATCAAGATCAAAGGAAATTATCCAAAAGAGATATGGTTTACAGGAATTTAGAAGCTGTTAATAATTTAGATGATAAGATTATACAAATGATCTTAAATGGAATCATTCAACATTTTATGACATCAGATCCAGAGATTGGAAACAAGCGAATGAATGGATACGATTTTATTCATTCGAGTCATCATGATTCATCATCAAGTCAATCACATCAAGAAGAAAAAGTGATCGTACCTTATCTTGGAAGAAATTCAAAAGGAGAAACCGTGAATCGACCCAAAGAAGTGATGATCAAATGGGCAACAGCTCAAGATCAATCTGATTGGAATACATTAGGATTCGATTTAGAACATGTTTTGATGGTCAGTAGGATCTTGGGGTTAGATGGAGAATTTATTAATATCAATTTAGAAGGTCAAGAATGGTATCGATATATTTTAAAATGTATGTTTGAATTAAGGAAGGAAGAATTTAAGTTTTTTGAAATCCTTAGTTGGTTCTCAACTCATTTAAATCAAGAAGAGTTTTTAAAACGGTTTGAAATCTTTTCTTATATTACTTCTAAAGGATTAAATCCTAGTAGTACTCATCATTATCATCATTCATTGAAGAATTTAAAACCTTGGTGGAATAAACTTCAGATTGAAAGATGGATTAAAAGATCAGATTGGGATGTGAATTTGATTTTAAAAGTAGGAGATTTACTTAAACTAAACGAACCTAATGTTTCATTTCAAAGTTATAATAAACGAAGTCAAATCCGAGAGAAATTGATGAATTTCTTAGATCCTACTAGTTCTTCAAAATTAATATTTAAATCAAAAGATGAAGATGGAGATGAAGATGAAGTGTTTTCGAAAATTAAAAAAATGTCAACTTATCTTCCAGAAGCATTATCAATCGAAACTGAATCTAGTTTAGTTGGATCATTATATAAGAAACGAATTAATTTATTAACTGAAGTTAGAAGGTTAGATGGTAGTCTAGGTAGACCAGAGCCGAATCATCGATTCTTTAGAATATATTGGATCACCAGAGGAGTGGATCCAGAAATCGCATTGAAATCTTTGAATTCGAATGAAGAAATCTCGGAACCTGGATATGTGATCTTTAATCAATTCAATCAATCTTTTCATCTTTCTAAATATTTTGAGTTTATGAATTTGGTTTGGGCTGGGTTTAATTCTGTTCATGAGGTTTTACATCAGGTTTGGGAAAGAGCTATACAGTTAAGACCTGCTTGGTAATAAATACTAAATGTACTAAATGTAAATGTAAATTTAAGAGGATTGGGATTTCTTTTGGATAGAAAGGATGGATTTGATGAAGTGTCTATATATAGTGATGGATTACAATTTATTTCAACCTTGAACCCAACCTTCCGAAAAAAACCTAATCATTTAACCAAAAAAAAATCACATTGTTCAATTTCTGATCTCCTTAATATTTTTTTTGATCGACTTAATTTCAATCTTTATCATATCAAAATTCTTATAATGTCTTGTGAAAAAGGTTCTGTAAATTGGAAGTGTAACCTTTTTTTCCTTGTAAGGATTATAATTCTTATTTTTTTTCTATGGTTGAATTCATTTAAAAAGTGTTTATGTTCATAGTAAAATTGATAAGCTTACGATCAATTTACGATCATGGTGTGTACCTTTTCGAGCTTTATTAAAGGTAATATATACAAGAGCTTTGTCAAATCCGCGGAACCCTTTTGATTGCTGCTATTCGAAGCGGATAGGATTCCGTAGTCAGAGAGAATGAAATCCAGCTTGAACTAACCCTTATGGATGCGAAACACAAGATTGGTAAGGACTTTACGGACTTGGATTTCGTATGGCCTACTGGCACTGCTTCAGTGACGTACGTTGATTTTCAAGAGTTTGGTAACTCAATTTTTGGGTCATCCGGTGTAAGTGATCGAATTCATTGATCCTAAAGTCTCCCCTCAAGCTTGTGCAGGGGAGCCTGCCCCGGTGGTTGGCTTATTCATAAGCTTACAGATTTGATGTGGGTTCGAAAGTTTCTTTTCATTTGCGCGTGTGTGATTTGTCGAATCCGTGGAAATTCAACGGATACCCTAATCTTCTTCCGTTTATAAGACGATTTAATGAGAGGATTGTCGAAGATTGTGATCGTTTGAAGAGATTGGAATTCAGCTTGAACTAAGAGAACTACAAGGAACGGGTTTACTGACTCACATGTCGTACGTTTTGCTTCTTAGTGCAAACCATTACGCTTTGGGTTAGCTTTCCTCAAATTTTGAGTCATGGTATGATCAAATTACTCATCGATGAAGATCTTAAGATTCCATAATGGAGGACTTTCTGCGTGGGTTGAACTTGAGTGGATTTTCATCTCGAAGGACGAGTGCATTTTCGGAGATACTTGTGTTGTACGTATATATCAGTTAATCGAGAAGGAGATAGCTAGAGTAAACTCGCGGTGGAATCATTGAAGGCTTTTGGTCATCTAGAGCGGCGATTTTCTCATATAAATCGGTGAGTCAAAGTGTTCCCTCCATCCTTCATCCTAGTCTCGTTGGTAGAATCAAAATCGCTTGCAAAGCTTTATCCTTTATTTCAAAATTTGTTTGTTCAATTTGGTTGGAAATGTTGCTCAGTAGCTTAATTTCAGCGCTTGCGCTCAATGGTAGGATTGGTTCATTGCTTCATGTTATGCTTTCATTGCTACAAAGATGATGCTTTCTTACAATCTTTTTGACGATTTTCGCTATCTAAGCTTGCTTTGTCAAGGGTACCTTTCACCCCTCTCACTTATCTCCCGGACTTCATCGTCACTCCCCACATGCCTCAGCTGCCGCTGTTGGAGCAAGTTTATCCGCTCATTTCGACACGTCTGTCGGTACCATTGACGGCTACAAACCGAAGTTTACGCAAGCTTGTCAGCAAAAGAAGACGGATGTCTTGATTCATGGCTTGGGCGATATCAAGGGTTCGATCTCTGTGTTAGGATCAGTTGGCGGACTGGCTCAAGTTGATGTCAATGTAAGTTATCATTTGGTTCGAAGATTTGACGCACAGTAGCCTCTGATTCAAGCCTGCTTATGCCTTTCTATTTAGATTTTGACGACCAAAGTTTTCAGCTTGATGGTGAAACTTCAAGCGATATTGAAGATTATTGATCAGCACAAGCTGACTTCCTCCTGCACAAGTATGTCCTGAACTCACTACCACCTCAGCTATATAGGAAATCTATTACATACCTAATCATTTTTTTCGTTTGCTTTGTATAGGTGCCATCGGTGACTTGAAAGGTTCTCTACAAGTCATGATCTCTGTTCTTGCTTCGCGTCATACGGATGTTGCTGCTAAGTGTACCGGTGCTGGCGTTGACTTGAACTTTTACGCTCGCGTTGGAATCAAACTCGACGTGAACGCTAAGGTCGATATAGATACCGATGTTGACACTAGTGGTGCTGATGTTGATGACGACGGTTCTGATGTTGATGACGACGGTTCTGATGTTGATGACGACAGTGCTGACGTTGATGACGACGGTGCCAATGTTGACGCCTCAAGCAAGGTGGTCGCTAATCTTCAAGCTTCGATCAGCGTTACGGAGGGCTTAGCACCAAATTTCAAGAGCGCATGCGAAAAGAAAAACGTGAATGTTGTTACAAGCGGGCTAGCTAGCATCAAGACCTCGATCAGCGCTTTAGGAACAGACGCCAACGCCTTTGCTCACATTGATGCCGATGTAAGTGGTTTCCTGTATCATCACTTTTATCGACTTCTAACTCTTGTGGTATCAATCCCTTCGCAGGTCCTCAGTACTCATGTCGTCAGTCTATTTGTCAAACTACAAGTATTGCTACGATCGATCTCTGATAACAAATTGAGCGCTCAATGTCAAAGTGAGCCACAAATGATCTTTTGGGGAAGACTGTCAAGTTACTGATCTTGCCATTGTCGTGTTCGATTTAGGTGCTATTGTCCCTTTGCAAGCTCCCTTGAAAGCTATGCTATCGATCGCCGCGTCTGTTGGAGTCGACGTCTCTGCTAAAATTTCAGCGTCTGTAGACGTTAAGCTCTTCGCCCAAGTTGGACTTGACCTTGGCATCAATGCCAACGCTGCTGCTGGTGCAGGTGCAGGTTCTGGTGGTTACGGTGCAGGTGGAATAAGGCCCCGTGGAATTGGTGGTTCTGGTTCCGCTACTGTCCATGTCGACGTTTCAGCAAAGGTGGTCACTGATCTACACGCTTCGACGAGTTTGATGCATGACCTCGAACCCAGATTCAAGACCGCATGCGCCAACAAGAATGTCGATGTTGTTGTTGGCGGATTAGCTAGCATTAAAACCTCTATCGTAGCTTTAGGACCCAGCGCCGCTGTCTATGCTAAGGTCGATGCAGAAGTAAGCGTTAATCTGTATCATTTCTTTGATGATAGCCTTCTGACTCTTATGATATCATTTCGCAGACCCTCACCACCAACGTCATTAGTCTATTTGTCAAGCTTCAAATATTATTACGCCTCATCTCGGACTCCAAGATGGGCCCTTCATGCAAAGGCGAGTTGGCAATGGTTTTTTTGACAATCATCTGAAAGTGCTAATGTAGACAATGTCTTCTTCGATTCAGATTCTATCGTTGCTTTGCAAGCTCCGCTGAAAGCCATGATATCCGTCGTGGCTTCTGTAGGAATTGATATTTCTGCCAAGATTTCGGCTGCTGTGGACGTTAACCTCTTCACGCAAATCGGACTTAGCATTGGCGTCAATGCCGCTGTTAAAGTTGGTGCTGGTGTTGGCGCTGGTGCTGGTGTTAACGTTGGTGCTGGTGTTGGCGCTGGTGCTGGTGTTGCCGCGGGTGCTGGTGCGGGCGTGGGCGTGGGAGTTTTCACCTCTGCCAAAGTCCTTGCCGACTTCAAAGCTTCAACCAGCACCGTTGTTACACTTGCTCCAACCTTCAAGACCGCCTGTGATCAGAAGAATGTTGCTGTTCTTAACCAAGGCTTGGTCAGCATCGTGGCTTCGATCGCATCCGTTGGAGCACACGCCAATGTCGTTGCTCATGCCTCTGCTAATGTAAGTCTTGTTCAAATCGTCAAAGATTCAGTCAAATGCTAATGCTACAATGTGCTTTGTCTCAGGACCTATGTACACAATTCTTTGAACTCTTGGTCAAATTGCAAATCCTCTTGAAAATCATTGACCAACATAGCCTGGCCTCATCGTGCAAGGGTAAGCTACGGTGATCTTTGAATTTTAAATTGCAAAGTCTTGCTGACATCGTCATCTGCCCTCATCTCTTCATAGGCTCTATCGCGTCTTTGAATGCTCCTTTGAAAGTCTTGCTTTCAGTCCTTGTGTCCCTTGGAGTTGACGTGTCGGCTAAAGCCAAAGCATACACATCCCTAGACTGGAGTTTCTTTGCTAACGTTGGGGTCAAAATTGACATTCATGCTGGTGCCTCCATCGGCGCATAAATTCTGATAAAAGTGTGAAGTAGCTTTTGTTAGATAAGAAGATTGCTGTTTAAACTCCTAGAAAGTTAACTAAACATGTGTCATTCGATTTTTTTATTATTATTGCTGTTGCACCGGTGTACTGTTGTAGTATACAGATGAATATTTTTTCATGAAATCATTCAATTTTTATTATATTTGATCTCAAACTCCAACCACTTCGTTAAGTTATCCTTCAAAGCGGATACTAGTGCCTTCATATCCACACATATACTTAAATCAACCCACTCCCTTGACAAAGAAAAATGAGCCATTTGTGGAAAATTGAATAAAGAATAAACGTATAAGATTGTAAGCAAACAAAGAAACTTGGACTAGGAAAGAAAAATGAAAGTTTTTTGGATCTATTGTTCAAATTTCTCCATGAGATCTCTATCTCAACCTCCCAGGTCTTTACTATAGGATGTGCTCCAACTGCAAAGGAATTTTTGCTTCAGCCTTTTTATTGCGCACTTTTCATTCATAGCGCTAGAACTCCAAGATTTGTGAAGACACTTTTAATTTCAACTTGTATCTTGAACTTGTAGAATAACCATATCCTCTTGCATAGAAAGAAGTCTTTCAGGCCTACAAATTTCCAGGTGTTCCCTCTGCAATGTATCTGTCATGACAATGACACTGCTGTTCAGATTAGAACAAAAAGTTCCATCAAGGTTATGGGTGGTAAAAATGACAATACAAAGTGCAATGATCAAGGAATGGGGTTTTGTCACTTGTTGTATGCATTCCTGCTGTATAAACTTCATGCTCAACTTGTGTGTGTAGTATAAGTTTCATGTGTATTGATTCCAAGATCTTTGCATCAGCAATGGATATTTTAAAATGAACTAAGTTAGCACCAAACTTATAAGTTATTTGATCATGTTCTATCACGCTTGAGAACGAATCAATTGAAAACAATCAATCATCCTTGAGAACAAATTAATTTGAAACTCCGACTGTAATTCAGAAGACTAATGAAAGAAGCCTCGTGATCAAAATTGAACTGATCACGTATAGAATAGCCTGGGCTCCAAGAGGAATCAATTGAAACATATGTAATAAGAAGAATATGCCAAGGAACAAGTATCTCCAATAAGGGTACTCAAAGCAAAGTATGTAGCGCTACATACTTTTCGCTACATACTTTTTTTGGCGGGGACAAAGAAAAAAAATATACTTTTGGCCTCGCCTTCCCCGCCAAAAAAAGTATATAGCAAAAAGTATGTACACGTACATACTTACTTTGAGTACCCTTAATGTCTCCCATAAATTGGAACAAAAGAATATAAATAGGATTTTGCTAAAAGCAGCCCCCCCATGTGAGGATTGACCGCCCCCTTTTACCTGTATTTCAATTCAAAATATTGCCTATCTCACGGGATGTGTCTCACGGGTTTAGGGCGTTGGCCCTGATGTGACGGAGCTGCACTCCCGGTGTAGTTTACGCGAAGCCGCTCCGGCCGGAGGCCGGGGCACATGGACATTTGCATTGGGAGGCACCCCTTGGGGAGGACCGAGGTCAAATTGAAGAGAAAGAACAAAAGCAGCAAAAACAAAAAAGGATGACAACTGATGGGGATGTTATAACAAAGGAGACAGACGTTTGCGGACACTAGACATAAATAACTGGAAGAAACAGTAACGGCTCCGTATCACAAGCAGGGGGCAGACCCATCTGGCATCACAGAGGAGAAAAAGACCGAAACCGGCTATCTAGAGATACGAAGGAAATTAAAGGAAAAAAAAAGAGAGACATATGGAGATAAAAAGATTCTTTATTATTATTATTATTATTTTGTGACCGGCTTCTTGCTTTCTACTTTTTTTTTTTTTTTTGAATTTTTCCGTTTGTTTTTCTCTTTTTTCTTTTCTTCTTCTTTTTTTTTTTTTTTCTTGAGGAAAGGGGAAAGAAAAAAGGGAAACAAAAAAGAACTGCATGGAGGTAGTGGGTGGGCGGGATTTCGTCGAACTACACCTGATACAAGAACAGGGATAAGTTTTCCCTTGCAGAGAAGAACTACCGATGAGGCGAAGCTGGAAGGATGGTAGATGACTGTAAGTCAGTTCGAGAGGTAGGTCCTTTGGCTGGAGGAGGCAGGACTTCTCCGGCTAGGCGACCGGTACCCTTGTACTATAAACCTAACTGCCGACAACCTGTGGTTGGTGGAAAACGAGAGGTAGGTGTTATTAGCATATCCTTCTACGCTTGCCTAATCGGTGAAACGCCTGTGACACCCTCTCTGACATATCCCACATGATTAATGCTACATCAATCCACAAGGGATGTGTCTCACGGGTTTAGGGCATTGGCCCTGATGTGACGGAGCTGCACTCCCGGTGTAGTTTACGCGAAGCCGCTCCGGCCGGAGGCTGGGGCACATGGACATTTGCATTGGGAGGCACCCCTTCACCACCCGCCTAGAGGAGGAAACCCATCGGGTAAAGGAGAAGGAGAGTGGTGAAGGGGCTGTGAAGGGGTGACGACTCGGCGGTGTCTGCCTGGCGCAGGTAACACGCGGGATGAGGAAAAAAGACACGGCTGATGGGGAGCGACTTACGATGGAGTGTTACTCAAATATTATTTGGGCCCCGAGGTGACCATCGAGCGACAGCGGGTGGCTTTTCGTGGTGGCTAGTCGCATCGTGGGGTGGCCTCGTACGTAGGTTTTGAAAGCCTCCGACGACCAACGCCCCATGTCCTGTATGTGGTCCAGCGGTAGTCCTGCTTGGGCGAAGGCCGTGGCTCCTCCTGAGCGCATGGAGTGACCTGATTTGTTGTTGTCGAAGTATCGGCGAAAGTGGTTCAGGAACCAGGAGCGTGATGGTGGTTTTCCTTCAACCGTGAGAAAGAGCGGATCTGTTGTGGCGAAACGTGCGTCTCGTCTGAGGAGGTAGCGCGACAAGGCTGAGATCGGACAAGCGCCTGGTATGGCGCAGCTGGCTATAACGACCGTGGTACCCTGGAATAACGGGTCGGTTTTTGAATGGGGTAGGGTGTATTTCGCGTACCCTCCGCACTTGGAGAGGGAGAGTGACAATTGAATGATGAGCTTGCGTGTGCTCCTGTAGGCTGTGTTGTCCGGTACTGTTAGTTCACCAAGATGATGTAGAGCGTGGAAACCGATCGTGATCATGGCGGTGAAAAGGATCTCGTCGTATGAGAAAGCGGAAGACTTGTGCACTAAGATGAGATCATGGATTGTTAGGGGGTCTTTTCTGGCTACTGGTGTCGAAAACTGGATTTTTACTCCTCGGAGGACTTTCCGTACTCGAGGTGAGTTAGTCACAAGTCTGACTTGGGGATATATGTGTTCAAAAGCGGCCGCGATTGCTGTGAGGTATCCTTGGATGGATGTTGGAGCCAATGGTTTGTTCGTGCGGTGAGACTTTGCTCTTGCGGCATCGGAAATGTAAGCGCATACTGTTTCTACTGATGGAACGGGTGGGTACTTCTCTCTGATGCAGAAACGTAGGAAGGAGGCTAATCCAGATTGGTAAGCTGATTTTGTCGAGTGGGCTAAACTTTGGGCGGTGTCCGCTTCCGCTACGAGAGCTAGGAACTGACGCCTGGTGGTTGGTTGATCTTCATCCATGTTAGCGACGGCGTCCCCCATCGGGGAAGAGATCGTGGTTTGGGATAGGCAGGATAACGGCTTGGGGAGCTAGATCTCGAACCGCTGCTAGTTTGTTTCGGGACAGAGCATCGGCGTACACGTTTTTGACGCCTGGTATGTGATGGACCCTAACGTCTGCTGATCTGTCTACCAACATGCGTACTACGTCTTGGAATAGGGGGCGGACGAGGGGACTAGGGTTGTGAGATTGAAATAGTTGGCAAACTATCATAGAGTCCGAACAGATGAAAATCTTTCTCGCTCCCCTTGCTAGGGCTAGTGCGATGGCTAGTGCGACAGCTCTTAGCTCCATCCAATATATGTCTCGCGCTGGTGGTGGCATGGAATGGTGAAAACCTTTGTGAGTGTTAGGTAACCAGATCCCTAAACCTGTGGGGCAGGCATTGGTGACGAGTAGCGCATCTGCCTGATTGATCGACCATGTTGACGCTTGAAGAAAAAACTGTCCTGACGATCTCTCGATGTTGGCGGCTAACCATCGAAGGTCTTCTTGCACCTCTTTGTTGACATGGATGGGGGCAAACTTTGACGACTTGTTGGTTAGCTTATCCCATGCTGATTGTAGGGCATGGCGACCATATGGGAAGGCATTTAGTCCCCAAGAGGCCCAACCCAGGATTCGTTGCCACTCTCGAAGGCGGTGGTTTGGGGAGGCGGTGAAAAGGCGTAGTGCTTCTACCAACGCGGCTTTCTTTTCTGGCGTGAGAGAAAACGATAGATTCGTCGCGTCGACGTAGTGCCCTATGATTTCGAGTTGGGGTCCTGCCAACTGTTTCTTCCACTCCCAAGGCATGTTGATGGAGTCGAAGAGGAGGAGGAGTAGTGCTTGGTCGAGCGGCATGTCGGTCCCTTTGTAGGAGGTGACAGAGTTTGAGTGAGAGATACCCCATGTGTCGTCCATCAAGTTATTGATACGACATATACCCAACTTGTTTACCGCGATCCACAGTACTAGCGAAAAGACTGAGCACCAGATCTTTGGAGAGGCGGCCGAACCAAAATTTGAGCACCGGTCAGCATGGTAGAGGTTGCCTATTTTTACTATCTGACGTACTTGCCACTGCAAGGCCATAGGTAGGTTCCTGTATGCTCTTGCTACGTCGCTTTTCCACAGCAATAGGTAACCGTTTCGAGGTGCCAACTCCGTCATGTAGGGACCAAAAGAGACGAGCGAGTCGTAGTTAACCCTTGATTTCTCTTTGTCCATCAGGTCATTGAGAGATGGAAAACCGAAACTCATGTCGGTGCACACTCGTAGCTTCGATGAGCCTGCTTTTTCTACGATGAGTAGAGGAGACACTTTCATACCCGGGAGCAAGTGATAGAAATGTGGCGAATACCTGTCTCCTGCGACTTCTTCGTCCCTCGATTTCTCTAGGGCGTCAGGGTGCTCGTTGCATATACGGTGGTTTGGGTGTTCCACGGTCTCGGGTGACGGTAGGGTCGCGAATGGCCAAAAGCCGTACGTTAAGCCATGCATGACTGAATCGACGAAAGGTCGGTTTGGGTGGTCCAGCAAGAGATGATTGAGTAGAGGCACGTTAACCGGGCACACTATTTTGAACACTTCCGGGTATTGCTTAATGGCATAGGCTGCGCATGGGTCGTCCTTTAAATCGGGAGGTTTGGGCAGGGGTTGTGCATAAACACTGCAGACATTATTCGGGTTCCCCAAGTGGGCAGGGAAAAATGATTGGGAGTATGATTTGTCATAAAATGGTCTATCACTCCACACCTGAGCCATAACACCCACACTACATATGTGTAGCAGGCTCAGTGAATATGTGGTTATCATGTACATACAGTTCTGCTCAGTTATCTGCTCATCAGGACAAGTTATTCATATGTAATACATGCTGTAACTTCTTTCAGATTGAAAAAAGCTTCCAAAAGATTGACTACATACACTGACTCAATGTTTTGGTGTGATCTCATCAACTCAACTGCATGTAACACACTTTCTGTTACTAAGACATAGCTTCAACAATATTGCCTGAGCAGCTACAGAATTATATGTAGTGAATTTTTGGGAAAAAAATTTCAAAGTCGAAAAAGTTACATGTGGTATAACATGTGATTTATTTATTCTGATGGGCAAAAAACTGAGCAGACCTGTATGTACATGATAGACAACTATTGACTTAGCTTGCTGCACATATGTAGTGTGGGTGAAATGGCCCAGGTGTGCAGTATTAGATTCTTTTATGAAAAACTGTACTATTAATCATTTTCCTCTGCCAAATTGGGGAAGTTGAATGATGTTTACAGTGAAAGGCTCGAGTCGATCGCATTGGAGAAACCTTTTGTGTTTGACCAGTCCCACTCCAGGCCCCTTCTGAATCTGCTGGTCGCGTTGTCGACTTTGTCTTGACTGGTAGTAAGGCAGGGAAGGTTTGGATGAGCTTGGAACAGAACTGGAGACCACGGTGTGGCTTTGTGTGACGTTTCGTGAATTGGGATGTACTGCTTATGTGTAAGCTTGTACTTACTTGGTGAGGGTCTCGCTGACCGATTGTAGCACAAAGCTCTTGATAGTCGTGTCAAGAACTCTAGTTGAGGTTGTAGTGCTGTTTGCGGGTGTGAGACGCGTTGCATCCGACGACGTCGCACACATGGTGAATACGTCCGGTTCTGCAAGGGTTGCTGCACACCCCAATGTTCCAGTTGCCGCATAGCTGAAGGTTGGGTGGGGCACCTTTCGGAACTGTGCGTATATGGGGAGGTGGGCAGTGGGTAGTCAGTTTGTGTCTTTGGGGACTTTTTTTTTTTTTTTTTTTTTTTGTGTCTTGGTGACATTATGAGCAGCATGTTGTGACTCACTCGGCTTGATGTTGCCGTGCCATACAGGGCGGGGCGTAGAAGCCTGAGAATTCCTGCGCTTCGGTGCATGGGTAGTTTCCCTAAAGGGTCGCGCGCTAGAAGACGCGTAAGATTGTGGCGTTGCGTTTTGTACAGCATGGGAAGCGTAGGTAGGTTGGGCAGCGCTAGGGGTAGGTCGTTGTCTTTGGATGCCAGTAGACGTGGCAAAGGTTCTGACAGCGAGAAGGGCTGGGCTGTTGAAATCTCCGAAGGAGAGTGCTGGTCTTGTTGCAAAAGCGAGGCGCATTCGGGCGTCGTAGTCGACAATTTGGGACCAGTCGCCGTGCTCTGCGAAGAGGTTGAGCATGTCGTAAATGTGCTCCAGGTACCTGCGCATATCGTCCTCAGTGGTTGGAAAACCGAAAACGATGGCGGCTCCGATGAGGTCGATGACGCGTCGCCACTCGCGCTCGTTCGGGAAGAAGTGACGGATTGATGTGAAAGTGTCTGTGGGTTTTGGTGACTTCTTCGCATCGTATTCATCCGGCCATAACACCTTGACTGGGCAGATGTAGTGGCCTCTGAGGAGAGCCGGTACAAGGGAAAAAGGGAAGCCCAGTGGCCTGTTCGGTTCCAGATTGAACTTGTCGATCGAGACTGCCCAGCCAGCTTTCCTGTAAGCTTTGACCGCATCTGCGATGTCTTGAGCGCCAACTGGTAAGGGACCAGAAATGTGATTCTTGGCCTTTGCGAAGGGTAGGGTGTCGACCACGTCGTCTGAGTCGCTCGAGCTGTCGCTCGAGGAGAGGGAAGAAGAACTGGACGATGATGGAGAAGAGCTTTTCTTGCGTCGTCGCTTGGTCTTCGAAGAGCTCTTGCAATGTTTGTGCCGATGTCGTTTCTTGGAAGTTGATGCCACATTCTCGGCGGTTTCAACTGGGTGTTCTTCTGCGGTAAGTCCCAACGGGTTGAGGACGTCTCTGAGTGGCGGCAGGGCTGGACGTAATTGGTTTGCGGCGTTGATGGCTGCTGCTCCTGCGTTACCGACAGCTTGTTGATAAGCGTTCTCGGCCCGCGGTATGATAGGGGGTAGCCTAGGACGTGGCGGTATGGGAGGAGGCTGTTGGTCGCGAAAGGGGTTCTGACGTCTGAACCTCGGCACGAAATGTGCGAACGCATCGGGATGGAGTACCACCGGTGGGGTATACTCAATCGGTAATCCGACAGCTGGGATGACGCCGCCGAGTTGGAAAGTGGCCCTTCCGTTCTGTTGATCGAGCTCTCTGGCTGATAGGCCAAAGTCGGAGAATTTTGGGAGAAAAAAGGGGTCGTCGAAAGGTATGATATTGGCGAACCTACGTCGTAGTTCCCATAAGTCCGTCGTACTGCTTCCTCCGGATCTGTCGTATGATCGTAGTAGCTCTGTGAGGCGCTGTTGTATGGTATTCGCGTTTTGACCTTGATTTCCTTCTGCATCTCTGTTCAGTATTCTGCGAAAGTCCATACAACGTGACGGGTGATACAAGTACGGAGTGACTTGTGGAATGTCAGGGATAAGACAGCGGTGATAACACGGTGTATGAGCGATAGATGTGAGATAGGGAAACTTCTCAATTTAACTTCAATAAGCTTTTTGTGTATGTTTCAACGGTACTCTGATCTGCAGCTGGGGAAATAAACAAGAAGAATTTCGTTGAACTACACCTGATACAAGAACAGGGATAAGTTTTCCCTTGCAGAGAAGAACTACCGATGAGGCGAAGCTGGAAGGATGGTAGATGACTGTAAGTCAGTTCGAGAGGTAGGTCCTTTGGCTGGAGGAGGCAGGACTTCTCCGGCTAGGCGACCGGTACCCTCGTACTATAAACCTAACTGCCGACAACCTGTGGTTGGTGGAAAACGAGAGGTAGGTGTTATTAGCATATCCTTCTACGCTTGCCTAATCGGTGAAACGCCTGTGACACCCTCTCTGACATATCCCACATGATTAATGCTACATCAATCCACGAGTAGGGGGCGGTCCAGAGAGCTGATTTCAAGTTTTTAGTGAATAAAGCGGGCGGTCTTGAATACAGCCCCTGTATTCTCCAAACCAGTCGATTTGGGTGAGAAATCAAGTTGTAGTTTACAGCGTGAAGCCTGGTGTATTTCCATTTCCTCCTCTCTTTTGTCAGGGTTGGGCTAATCACGATAACTTGTGCGTGAGTTGCTGGAAGGAAGCGACTTCAAGCTCTTGGGCCCTCTGGCAGGAGTTGTATCCTCCTACAAACAAAGCTCAAGTTACATTGGAGGTTTGGTAGCCTTAGTAACCATCTCTCATATTCTTACAATAGTTCTTAAAGTTGTTCTTCGTTTCTCCCCCTCCTCATACTGTGTCTCGCTGTTGATAGGCTATATCATTGAAATATGTGGTGATTTTGAAGAGAGATACTGCGCGTGAACGAGAAGCGGCTGCCGCTTAAGCACTCTTTCTGCTCGTTTGTCCCTTTGTACACCGATTGGGAACATCTCGGTCCGAATGTATTTCACTTTGAATTCACCTGAATTATAGACAGTTCCAGACCGCCCCCTTCCCTTCCCATGTTTGTATTATACAGTCATAGTTTTCTTTTCCCCGGCTAAAAGGGGGCGGTCAATCCTCACAAGGGGGGGCTGGATTTAGTAAAATCCTATAAATAAAGGGGAGTCTTTCCAAAGAAAGAGGAAACTCACCTTATCATACTTTAACCAATTCTTTCAGACCATCCTCTGTACCGAAGTCCAGCTGGGTTAGTTACGCATGTATCTAAATCTCAGTTCCACTTTACCCTTTCTTGCTTAAAGGTTGCCTTCATAGTATCTTGAACTATAATCCATGATTTTCTCTACTCCAAGTATTTCATTAGTCCCATCGTATTCACCTACTTTCTGGCTAATAGCTTCGATTATGAAATGTTATTGATTTAAATCTAGAACCTTTCTACGTACCTAAAACAACTCTGGAATAACTGCGAAACATATTGCGGTTGTGCAGCGGTTGTGCAGCGGGTCGGGTAACCACTACGCCCAACGAAATACATAGTGCATTCCGCGCACCGCATCGTATAAGCATAGATACCAATAGCGGGTCGTCCACTACGCAGCCCAACCCGGAAGGTGGATCTGCGATATTTTGCGGAGTAAACAATCATCCTGGCTGGGTACAGGGTATTGAGATAGTGCCATTCATTCATCCAACGAATCATCGACGCCACCTCCCTTTCCACCATCAAAACCGTCACACGCCAGCTCATCTTCGCTCCAAACCTATCAGGGCCAGCTTGTGGATTGGCCATTCGATCATTACCTTCAGAATCTTCCCTTCAATACCTTGATCCTGGAGCTGTCGATTCAATTTCTGGGCTCGCTTGTGGGTTGCAATTTGACCAATCATAAAAGGTACGAGAATACTACATTCTTACATCTTAGTGCCTACGTCTTTGGATTTCATAAGTATTGATTTGCTTTTTTTGGATTCTTTTCACCATGGCGATCTGCAAAAAATCTTCTCAAAACACATCCCAAAATACCCTACAGGTACCAACACAGACCAATCGACAACTTCGACCACCTAGCCCAGCTCGCATAAGGCCAGGCTTTGTTGTCCCCCCTAAGGACTCTCGATCAGCTATAAGTGTTATCGAGTCTGTAGATTCAACTGGTGATTCCACTGGGCCACTTGCTCAACGTGCCGCTTCACCTCAACCCTCAACTTTTAAGAAGAAAAGCCAAGGTACGGTCAAAGATCAAATAAAAGTCAAGCCAACTTCAAACAGAAAGGTGAGTTGGATTTTTACAATTCTTACAATATTGTAACAATCTTTTCATTCATCTTTCCGATTTTTGTTTTCTTTTTTTGTTTTCTTTTTTTGTTTGCTTTTCTCGCTAGTCTCGATCTTCTATCAGTAAACGTGCTATATCTCCTTTGTCAACATCATCAAGTGGTGCAGCTAAGAGAACTCGTATGGATGTAAGTGGTTATTTTTATTCTTCTCTTGGAGGTGATAATCACTGATAAGTGTTTGTATCAGCCCTATGAGATACCCAGCGATCTCGATTTATCCCAAGGATCTGACGTGGAGATCGTTGGGTCTACCGAACCTGGCTATAACGAGGCTCGGGCAATAGCTGTGAAGAAGCTCCTTGCGTATTATCTGCCTCCTGATGTAAGTCTTTCAAGGTTTTTTCATCACTGCTTTTAAATAGATGGCTGATCTCTTATTTTCCACCTCTAGGGTCGTTCTTACGAGTGCCAATTTTGTCACAAGAAGTTTCTCAACGGAACCTCATCATATTGGAACCTTTGGGGCCATCGTGAAGCTATCGTCCAGCTTGCAAGCAGCGAGCTCGAGCAATAGCTGAGGGTCTTGATCTTCCACCCAGCTACGCTGAAAAGAAGGAAGCCTCCAAAAAAAATGGCCAATTGACTTTGACAAAATTTGTAAGTGGCCCGGTATTCACTGTGGAACTCTTGAACATGCTCCTTGTCATCTGGATCGTTCGCCACACCCTCCCTTGGGCTCGATTTGAAGACGTCACCCTCCGAGCGTTGTTTTACACTGCCAACCGAAGTGCCGTGGTCCGATCTAGCACTTGGGCTGCCCAACAGTCAGTTCAACTGTTCTCAGCCTTGCATAACAAGGCCATTAGCAACTTGAAAGTAAGTTATTGTTTATTCTCTGTTTCATGTTTGAAATCAAATTCTTTCTAAGTCTGTTGTCATATCACTCAGGAAAATGACGGCCGTTTTTGCCTCATTCACAATGTGTGGACCACTAAGGGCAACCGATACGCCTTTGTAGGGGCATCAGCTAACTACATCAATCATAATTGGGAGTATAAGTCGACTCATCTTAATCTCAAGATGGTCGGCTGGCGTCATTTTGGAGTCCTTCTGGCCCGGCCAATCGGCCGATTCTTGATTCAACATGGACTTCATACAAAGATGAGTCTTTTCTTTGTATTCATTCTCATTTTAATTGTCTAAATTTGTCTAATGAATATTTTTCTATAATTACATGCTAGCCCAGACAACCAACAGTGGGGGTAACAACGGCCCAATGGCTTCAGAACTTGAGTCAATGTTTTTGGAAGCCGAAGATCCGGTCTCATGGGATCCTTCCTCTCATCATATTTGGTGCTATGCCCACAAACTAAATCTTTTAGTCGGGCACGGTCTTAAAGCACTTGGCCGAAAGGTTAGTGTTGCTAAGCCATCCATACCTTTTGGAATTCCTCTTCCTGTACCTGGAATCGAACTCAATGACGGTGAGGACAATGTTTATGATGATATCAATGACTCCGACGAGGACAACCAATCTGCTTTACCTGATGATCCCGATGGTGTCGATGATGAGGATGAGATTGAAGACTTTGGTGGTTCTTGTGACATGAACAATTTGGTAGCCGTGGCCCTTGAAAAGGTGAGTCAACAAGGCCTTCTTCATCTTTTTCATTCATTTGGAATCTGATGGAAAGATCGCTTGATAGGTGGATGCAGTCTCTGGCCAGATTGCATCCAGTGCAGCTCGCCGCAATGATTTTAAGACCCGAGCCCAACGTATGGGTTACAATGGTTGCATGCTTAAGCAACCCTGCAAAACTCAATGGAACAGCCACTTTGAGAGTCGCAAGATCGCTTGTGAGGCTCAAGAGGTATCTTTTTTTATTTGAACTTTTTTTTTCATTTCCTTCGTTATCATTTATAACTAACAATCAATATTTCAGATCATAGATTCGATGATTCTAGCTGATCGTAAGGCGGCCTTCTTCAAGGGAGTGACCATCTCTGCAACAGAATGGGAGGCTGTTGATATGGTAAACAAGATATTAAAGGTGAGATCACTTCATGATTCCTTCATGATTCCTCGTTTCCGAAACAATATCTAATAACATCTTCAACTTTATTTGCATCAGGTTTTTGTTGATGCAACAGCCCGGGTCGAGGGCAATGGGCCAACAGGATGTATCCTTTTAGCCGAATATCAACACGTCATTTCTGACCTCAAACAGCATCAAGTTGATGCGTGCCTCTTTCCAAGAGTTGAAGAAGCCATTGATGTTATGTTAAAGTGGCTGAATGAATACCGAGACGAGGCTGCTGCCTGTGATGCCGTAGTCCTAGCCACGATCCTCAACCCCCAATACCGACAAAAGTTTTTTTCACTCTATTATCAAGAACATGACTACTCCTCTCGTACTCTGATTGAAACAGCCTTTGAAGAACGTCTTGAAGAATTGGATCAGCGTGAGGCAACACCTTCACCTCAAGAATCTCAACACACCAACGATACTACGCAGGTTGACGAGTTTGATGTCTTTGGAGCTCCTGATGGTGCTACAACTAAAAACAACATATCGGAGCTCGAAGACTATTTGAAAGGAGCCTTTCCAATCAAAAAAGACCAGACTCCGCTTAGTTGGTGGGAGGTAAGTTCTTTTTTTCTGTCCCAATTTATTTCTACCTCACCAATACTGATCTATTTGTATTCATTCCACAGGAACATCATCATCGTTTCCCAACACTTGCTAAGCTGGCACGTGATTATCTTTCGGTCTCGGCAACCTCGTGTGCATGTGAGCGCACTTTCTCCGCTGCTGCTGACGTTTGTGTCCCATCCCATGGCAGCATGCTGCCAAAGACGATGGAGCGACTTGTTGGATCTCAGGCTTGGTTGAAGGAGGGAATCATACCCGATGGGGTATTTCATGAGGCTGCCAAAGCCCTTCTAGGTTACATAGAGTACTCGAACAAGAGAAAGGGCTAGCCATCTTGTTATTTATACAACTCATAACTTTGGTTTTACTAGCTATCAATTTAGGTTGGGATTACTTCTTACTCCAAGTTATCCACTCTCTCTATGAAATTCATTTTCAATCGGCTTGACCCCCTTTACCCGTCATAGTGCGCGATATAGTGGTCTGGTTCATAGTGCACTATATAGTGCATTTTTAGCGGTTTCGCCGCTGCGAGATCTTGCCTTCATTTTTTGGAAAAAAATTGCGGAGCAAGTGCGCCCTGCTTGATAGCGCATGCTGCGCAAAGATACGGAAATCCGCCAGATTTCGCAGCGTTTCGCAGTGATTCCGGTGTTGCCTAAAAGCTACGTGGATCTACTTGGTCACTATCCAGTTCTTGCAACGTAAAGTTGGCAAGATCCCTGTTAGTCTTCGGACGCAGGCTACTCTAGATCTTGTATCTCAGAGATTATAACCAGGCCTGAAGGTTGACCACCTTACATCTGTTAACTTACACTGGGCCTCGGAAACATGTTTCTTTGAAACACCGTGAAGAGCTTGTGGCTTTAACCACATTCATTACGATCATCATCCTCACTTGAGGATAAGATACAACGGATATCCCGCGTACCCAGCGGAATACTTAGTCAGGAATCTAACTGAGTGAGAACTAGACCTCATCAGTGCCCTTTAAAGGTTGCCACCCTGACAAGCATCATGTCATATTCAAGATCTGGGTCTAATTTGAAGTTAAGGAAGCTGTGAGGAGTATGCACCTGTTTGACGTACTCTTCACTGAGAGTAAGTGTTCAAATGGTGTGTGTGGTCATAACATGGTACACCCAAGTGAAGAGTGCAGCTAGTTGACCTCTAAGAAGAGGATTTGAGAAAGGAAAGGCAATAGTGAGGCAATAAGGTGATATTATGCTGATACTGAGGCCAACTTAGACTCCATAATAAGGAGGAAGCTGTGCCACTCAAGGTTTATTTCTAAAAACAATGATGGCTCTGTATTTGTAGAAACCAGTACCTTGGGTGTTTAGCAATACAACCAATAATGATCAAGAATGGTCTTTAACAAGCTACATACACAACAAAGCATGGAATCAAAGATCCTCTCAGCAAGAGTCAAGTAAAATGTGGTACTGTGTTGTGATTATAGTAAAAAGATGGAGGATGCTGCAAAGGAAGAAGGGATGTTCATATAATCACAGGTCAAGTGTCAACTTGTGGTTTGTGTGTGAGGCTTGTCACACATCAACTTGTGGTTGATGCCTGAATGAAGTTTATTATATATTCAGTAAATTAAGTACATGTGTTTAAGGGGCTCTTGGAACTGAGCCTCAAGGTATAAATTATGGCTTTATACAATATTGTCATTTCACATATGATAATGTTAGCCCATCCTGTAATCAGGGCTCAGGGCTTACAGAAGCTTGGGGATATGTGAGATCTTTGGTCCTACTACCAGATACAGAATATGCATCTGAACAGGATACTTATATCTCAGTATCATTCACCCAGGCAAAACAGAAAGAATGCTTGTTGTTCATACAGTTCCAGACTTATATTCTGTGGGAGTCAAATGCCCGTGCACTGGAATGTATAGTGGCAAACTCTGAACTTCTTCCTTATAAGTAGAGTCATCTGTTGGTTTCCAACATTTTCCCTCCTTGTTAGATCTCACACAAAGATTGTATAAATTCCTTCATAGATAAATCAAGTTTCTACATTAAAAGGTCAAACCCCCTTGACCAATGATGAAGTTGACACCAATTTTATTATTTTTGCAAATCTCCATCTCAAAGGCAAGACCCTTTGGTAATGGAGGATTTTCAAAGGCTTCAAAAGAAATTGGCTATAGTGAAGACCCATGGAATTATACTGTTGTATCACCAGATGATATGTTAGATGACGATTACAGTAATCCTGGGAATGGAATGTTCATAGGTGCAACTAGTAGCGTAAATGATCATGAAAACTTTTGGGAGAGAGGCAAGTACTTCCTTGTCACAGATTCTTGATTCACCAGGACCTAAGAGAGCCCATCATTAGATATCTGACTGCTTGATCATTTTTTTGTGAAATTTATAGCTGCAAGTCAATTGGAAGAACTCAAGAAGCAAGATCAACCAGATTCAATGGAAAGTTAGTGTGACATATCAGTTTATATCTTTTCTCAGTACTGACATTTCTTGTGCAGGGATACAAGCAGTTTTCAACACCCTCATTGATGATGGTCAGTGAATCACTTTTTGGATCTGCTCAAGGAACCCATGACAATAATATTGACAAACAGATCCTTCAACTCACATAATCACTATCCAGCAAAAAATGATCACATTGGAAAGAACATATGTATGTACAGAATCATTTGAGTGAAATCTGCTCTTGAGGGTCTTGATTGAATTTCAACATGATATGAAAATTTTGGTCTTCCTTAGGGCACGGTACTTCTGAGATCAGTAAGTCACCTGGTTACAAAACTCCATTCAACAAAGCTTTCAGTGTAAATTCTCAAAGGAAGAATGCACTGAATGTTCTTTCAGAGATTACATCCAAGCTGATATAAGAAACTCTTTCAAAATCAATTGGTTTTTACACAGAAGAAAGATTGAAATCTGTTCATATGGACTTTTTGCAGGCTAAAGAGAGACATGCAGAGAGATTCTCCAGATGTCTTAGGCCTATGATGGAGCAGTTTATGCAGGGATGTATAGAATCAATACCAGGGATTGCAGAATTCTTGATGAGGGTATGCATTGGGGTGCTCACGAATGGAGGAGGACATTCACACCATGGACCCTAGCACTTTTTGATATTGAAGAGAGATGATAGGCTTCTTGATATAGAGTTTGATTCTATCTATGAAGGCCCATATGGTGGTAGTGTTTTTGGAATCACAGACGGAAGTACAGCTTTATAATACTTGTTCTTTGTATAAATCATAAGTTGTAGTTGGTTTTACAAAAGAGCATCAAAAATTTCAATCAATGTAAGAAGCAAACCAAGACAAGAATTCAAATACAGACTTTTGTTAGTGTTGCAGTGAATACAAGATACAAAGAAGACATCTTGCTTTTCATGTGATGGTATTTATTTGTATGATCAGATTTTGAGCCCTTCAAAAACAAATCAGGGTTAAAAAAGTCCTTCTCTTAGCTTCCGCCCTCACATTTGGTTTTGAGAGCATGATTTCCACAGCCTTACAATAAAATCCTTCAAATTAGATGAAAAATGTTCCTGGATTCTATTTCTGAGCAGTTTTCAATTTCCTGTTGTCCATCATGAGATTTGTAGAGTTGAAGAATGATATAGACACAATTCATTTTCAATCAATCTTATCAATAAATTGACAAACAATATTCAGAATTGATAAGGATTTTGGTACAATTGCAAGCTTCCCTTGGAACATTTTTCAAGGGTTCTATGTTGGAATCCAAATTGTTTGAGGTTGTATTTATGAAAGTTTAAGTGGAATAGATCAAGGAGCTTGGATTGATTGTGAACTTCAATGTCTTTCATGATACATTACAATTCAGCTTTAGGCATTTTATATTTCAGTTTGTCTCAGATACTGTTGACGCATTCAATCCAAAGTGACATCATGAATATCAATCTTGGTTCTTCTTTAGAGATCTGAGTCTTAGATTTGTTTTCTGATTCCAATCCTGAGTTGGATGACTTTACAAGACCAAGTTCAGATTTTTCCTATATCTAGACTCCAGTTCATTCTAGTAAACATCCAAAACCTTCATCACATGTTGATAAATCTTTAGTCTAGGAATTGAGAAGCAAAGGTAAGAACTTGGTTTTTCTTGAAATACTTTTGAGGTGGTGTTTTGTTGTGTCAAATGTATTCCTGAGATTTTGATTACTTGGAGAATTCCATTCACTTCAATTGGAGTTTGGAGGAGTTAGTCACTGTGTGACATAAGATATATATGGTCATATCAATTTATTAAAGATGATGATCTGAGACTGTAGCTCAGTTTGTGGTAGTGCAATTTTTTGAAAAGGGTGTGCTAGGGTAAATTTTGAAACCTGTGGGATGTGCACATTGTACAAAAAGTCAAAAATAATCAAGAAATACAACTGGCGCTCCTCATGAAGGTAAATATATGCAATAATTTCCCACAAAATGTTATATTCCCTATAATATTTGCTTGACCTCATGTACTCTGGTCCTGTAGAAAAATCAGAATGAACAGTATTGTAGCATTTGTCAATAACATAAGAAGTTTTTTTTGGACACTTTTGGATATTGAGCTAGAGTCAAGATGAGGCTAATAAAGTCAACTCAAGCTGAGTTTGGTTTTAAATAACCAACTGAATTGACCAATCACCCTCAATTCATTCTTTATATTTGAAAAACCATTCATCTATCCCAAATATGATCATGAGGGCGCTTTCATAACTTGAAATGTTATAGAACATGGAGTTGAAAAATTGACCTCAAGGGATGAAAAGATAATCTTCTTGATTTGTGAAACTTTAATTGAGTGGATATCTGGTATGATATGATTAAGTTGTCTTGTAAGGTGCAAATCTGAAAAACTCTGTCCATGATATTTATATCTTAATCTACCTGATCATCCATCTTTCAGTTCACAATGTGGTGAGAAATTTCTAAAATCCGAACCGGTTCATACTAGACCCGATTACACTGACCGCCGGGGCCAGCCATGCGAGTCTTGACTCTTGATCCTCAACTTCACCTCAAGATTTCGAATCCTCAACCAAGGATACGCTTCTACTTCTCACACATCATCAATTACATAGATCCGATCCGCTTCAATCAACATCATCCAAACCAAACGCATTCCGGCTCGATTGCAAACATACACACGTTCAACAAACCTCCTCCTCTCAAGTCGAGAAACCTTCAAAACCATGATGGAAAGCCTAGACGATTACGAATCAGTCTTATGGGTAGCAAGAGAATGTTATGTATACAGACTTCCACCACGGTACGCAATCAAACTTCTCAGATCACAAAAAAACCGTAAAATTTTCGAAAAAACCAATGAACTATTTTTTTTGGTGTTTTTTTGTTTTTTTGTGTGTAGTACTTCTACAGCTGGTTATAAGGCTGCTGATTGGGGTGATATGGAAGCTTTTCTTTGGAAAGGTAGATTAAGGATTATTGAAAAAGGAACCGAAAATCCTACGAAATGTTTTATTAGACTTGAAGATTTAGATACGGGTATGTAGGTTAAGAAATCATCCAAAAGTTTAAAACGAAGAAAAGAAGAAACAGAAGAAGAAAGCTGATTTTGAAAAACTTTGATGGTTTTTTTTTCGTTTGGTTGGGTTAGGTGATCTGTTTGCTAATTGTCCTTATTCACTTGATGGGAAATCAGTTGAACCTGTATTAGATTCATCAAGATATTATGTGATTCGGGTAGAAGATTCGAGTTCTGGTCAACGAGCTTTTTTGGGTATGGGGTTTCCTGAAAGGAGTGATAGTTTTGATTTTAATGTAACACTTCAAGATTGGACCAAGTGAGTTGATTCATCTTCCAAATCCTAACCCCCCCCGAAAAAAAACAAATGAACTAAAAACAACTATTTGTTTGATATCTCTTTCTTTTTGGTTTGGTTTGGTAAAACAATAGACGTCAAAAATTTACTTCTAATTCGGGTACTGGTACAGATCATGATTCTAAAAGTTCTCCTCATTTACCTTCAGGTCCCAAACGTGATTTTTCTTTAAAAGATGGTCAAACGATTTCAATTTCATTAGGAGGTAAATCTTCCAAGAAAAAACCAATGGGTTCAGATACATCATCTGGAAGTGGTAGTACGAGTGGAGGTGGTGCTTTACCTTTCTTACCTCCTCCACCTCCTCCTAGAGCTAGATAATTGTGTCTTTCTTACAATTGTAGATTTATGGTTTTGTTTTGTTGGCTGGACCATTTGATGGTTTGTTGAACTGTATGTTTGATCTTTGCACACTTTTTTCTCTCTCTTTTGGTATAACATTCAACACATTTTTCTTTTTCTTTGGAGTTGCATGTGATTAGCATTCTAGTTAGTATTTGTCATTTTGTTTGAATTCAGTTAGTTTGTAGAATTTGTGATGTTTACTTGAAGTGATCATTTAGTGCTCAAAATGTTACTTTAAAGATATGTTACAAGGTATTTCTCTCTAGTGATAGAATATTAAAAACAAATAGTGCTACGTAAATAGTTTAGTCACAATAGTGGAAGAGAGGTCAAGTCATTTGTTTAAAGAGACAAGAAAGTGATAAAAAGTCATTGATTCTTGGTTGACTGTTTGTAGGAACACTTTAATATCTGATCAGATTCATGTTGATCAATTGAATCTTTGTTCTCTTTGATCAGAGTTTCCATGATATCAACATAATTTCCATGATATCATAGTCTCCATGATATCAATACTAACTTCATTTTGATATATATCAAGGATTTCATAACTAAAGGCACATTTGATAGCAGTCATTCAAATCAAATTGGTTTTTGCCTTTACACAACACATGATTTGATGTAGCCATAAATTGTTATAAATCTTCTTGTAGCTCTCATTAGAATATGAAAAGAATGAACTGCATGTAGAGCCATTGGGTTTGAAATTTTACTCATGCTTAAAATGTTTTTTTTTCATGTTGAAGATTATCAAGTTTCAACCATTGCAAGATATATGCCATATGAGCTGAAATGTTTATGATTTGTTTCATTTGTTTATCCTGATTTTTAACTGAAACCTGAACTTTCAAGAAGATGCAAACTGGGACCATATTTTGGCAAGGTCTCTTTTTTACTTACTTCATCATGGTCTTGATACATATCAAGTCAATGGATATTCTGGGTTATCATCTTGACTGTATTTGATCATGTCGTGAAAAGAAACCAAATGTTCATCAATCACGATTCACGATTGAAGTTCATGGGAAGCCGAAGAAGAAGAAACCAATTTTAAAGTTTTAGTTTATTTGAATTTGAATTTCGAAGAAAAAGGAAAAGTGTGTGAGTTTTACAAAAGTGTTTAAAATCAATTGAATTTGTCAAATAGTTGATCTTTAAGTTGATATATATAAAATTTGAAATTTAGAAAAAAAAAAAAGTCAAAACTCCGAAATGGAAAGTGAAAGTTTGAATCAGTTTTGTATTTATTCTTTCAATTTGAGTCCTGCTAAGCTTGTTCCTTTATATACTTTTAAGAAATTCTTACAAAAAAATGAAGTTTGTACCAATCGATTATCCAATCATCTTATGAAAAACTATTAACTCCAAATCGTAAGCATACTTTCTGTTCAACTTCTTCCATACCGACTATCCAATCTAACCATAAACTTATTAAACAGTCAAACCAGAACCATCAACTTCTAAACTTTTTAAACGCGTTTCATCTCAACCACTTCACAACGAACGAAAAAAAACACACAATCAATCAACATCCAACCGATCCAACCGACAGATTTTCTCAACAGTTTTTCATTTTGAAAAAGAGTCATGTCACTTACACCACCACCACCACCTCCTCATAAACCATCTAGTACAGGATCTAGTTCAACTTGTCAAAGTTCATCTAATTCAAAACCTACCAAACTTAAATCACGTTCATTTACTTCAAGTTCGACTCCACCATTATCAAGCATAAGTAACAGTAGTAGTACGAACACCGACACCACTACTACTACTACCACTACTACAACAAGATCGGATGATGATCCATTACCGTCTGGTGTACCGGATCCAGGAAGGTTACGAGAAATCTTGGTAGATATAACAGAAGAAACGAATAACCGAACCAACGAATCAGGACGAAGAAACCGAAGTCCAACCCCTTCACCCAGACTCCATCATAATCCCTTACCGATCCGAAGACCTCACACCGGTCCGATCACTCGATCGCGCTCGATGATCATCATCCCAACCCCTCCGTTACGCCGATCGAGATCTCAAACGCCTTTGATGATGAACCAAAGTAGAAGGTCAAGTAGGATGATAGAAGAAGTGAACGAGAATGATTCGAGTAGTCCATCTGTTTCGAGTCAGACCAGTTTAACACCTTCACATCATTCGGTTTCGTTAGCTGGACATCTTTATACTCCTTCACCACTTGGAGATCGTAGGTTTGAAGAAGAGTATCCTACTTTACAGGCTTTGAGATTAAGACCTGCTTTGAGTCTTGGGAATCATGAACCTATTCTTACGCGTAGAAGACGTAGAAGATCAGATGATGAACCTTTACAACCTTCACCACCTCAACCTCAAGTAGAAGAGCCTACCAATAGGTCAGAGACGTCGGTTAGGTCTACTAGATTGATGAGAAGATTAAGAGAAGATCATCAACCGAATAGAAGTAATCCTAATCTTTTGGTAGGACATAGGAATGGAAATGGAAATGGAAATCGGGAAGAAGTCGTTATGGGTATTACAGATGGACATCATAGAGAAGAGAAACGAAGGAAAAGAAACTCGAGTGGGTGTAGTAGTAGTCATAGTTTTAGTGGGTTTGGTAGGTTATGATTCATTATCGGTTATGAAGGATGATCATTGGATTTGGAAGTCTTGGAAGTTATTTGAGTGTTTTGGAAAGTTGGAAGAAGTCACTTGAAGTTTTGGTGTATGGTTTCTGTTTTAATCTCTTTTGGTTGGGATTCAAGGGATTTGGTTTTCTTTTTTTTTGGATTGGGTGTTTTCTTTGTTATTTGTTGGAATTGGTTTGGATAAGATTGGGTTTAGGGAATTATTGAAATTGGGTTTATATGGTTTAAAGTGGTTTGTGTAGTGTGGTATTGTATTGAATCAAAAGTTTTTTATGATTTTTGTTGGATTTTTTTTTGGAAAAACAAAGATGGTTAAATGGTTTAAATAAATGATTAGAATTTTGGTAGGTTTAAAGAAGTTATAGTTATTGGATTGATTGTCTTCAAAGTATGTAGTTGGGAATGGGTGTTTTTTTTGATTTTTTTTGGTGATTGGTTGTTTCAAGGAATAGGGCTTTGATTGAATGATTGAATGATTGATGAATTTTTATGAATTGTTATTGACTTACCAAAAACAACAAAACAATTTCCTTTGAAAAATGGTGTTTTCTTTCTTTTTGAATTTTTTAAAATAAAATGTAATATCTATATCTATATATATTGGATCAGAATGAGAATGATGATATGAAAAGAGTTTCTTTTGAGATTGAGACAAAGTGGTATATTTGATATGTGATCTGGTTTTTGGATTTTGGATTTGAATGGTTTGATTAATTTTGATTTCAGAGGATTTGTTGAGACATAAATTGATATGAATCAAATTCAAGATTTGTTTCTTAGGCTTTGGATTTATAAAGAAAGTGAGTTCAAGATGAGTGGGTAGGATAGTGAAGAAGAATATAGTGCTGTCTATTAATTGGCATTTTGGGATATTTGTGTCCTTTGCTCATCTGGATTTTAATACCCTGGACAAAAGATCTGTGACCAAATCTTTGATTACCCGGATCTCTGGCTTTTTTTAGCAGAAGATATCCATCAGGGCCCAACACTATGGAGGTGTGTAACTTAAGATGAAATAACCGCTTTTTTCTGGTAAGATTTTGGAATTGGAAAAATCACCCAAACAAACCACTTTTTGGTCACACAGGCTTTTGAAGGTTGGACAACACAAAATCCCCTTTTTGGTCATGCACCTCACTTGGGTCCCAAATATCTATGTATAACATTCTATTGAATCCCATAAAGTTTGTGACAGTATGAATTACAACTTCTTGGAGGCATCTATATTTTTATGTATAATCATGAAATCTTTGTCAAAGATTTCTTTCTTTAAAGGCTGAGATTTTGATGGTGCTCATGATTGCATCATCATCATGGTCAATCAACTTATTGAGATACAGAGGCATAGGAGTTCCAAAGGGCCTTTTTGATAATTTGTTGAATACAGTCCCCTCCAATATGGCCTCCAGAGTGCTGCCAAATGGAAAACACACATCTCTTCCCTTGTCATCAGCAACTGAAGCATTTGAGAAACTCATGAAGATTTAATACTATCAAGTCCCCTCTTGAAGACTGGGGCAGTGGTTGCACAGTTTATGGATGTTTTGGGGGAGTTTGTTCAAAAGACAACATGTTTCACATATTTATAATTTGATAGTAGGTGTATACAGCATTATTCAGTTCTATGTGGGGTAGATTAGAGCTGTTTAAATTTCTGGAAGGTTCATTTACAGCTGAAAAGCTTACCAAAGCTCTGAGAGCTCACCAAGCTTGAAAAGTGTTGGAAGAAAGTCAAGCCTATTTCTGCTGAAAATATCAACTTTCATGACATACACATCACAATCTTGCACCTCAAAACTCCACTTTCACATCACATGCAATTGGGAAGAAATTGACAAAACAAAAACTCTTTTTTGGTCATCCTCCACATATACTTGGTTTTCTCCAACACATTTCCCAAAAACACACCTTTTTTATCAGAATCTTGCATAGGGCCATTTCTGTCCACTTGTTCTGTCCCTCATCTTTGAAGAAAGATGAGGGAAAAGATGAGGGACAGAATGAGTCTTGTACTGGTTGAGGATAGAGCCTATGTGGTATAGAAGCCTTGTCAAAACACAAGAGGTTTTGATTGGGCTAGGTTTAAGAGCCCACCCTCTCTTGCTTTTGTGATGTGGGTTTACACTGTGTCTGTATCTTTGTTGCATGTCAATGTGCACACACAAAGCACTTTTCTTAGACCCTCAAAATACCTTTCAAAGAGGTTCTACAACAGGCACATCTTCCCTCATCAACTGGGATTTTGACACTCAGTTGACCCCAGCTGCTCAAAAAGGATTCCAAAAATCCTATAACTAAATCATTATTCACAAAGCATGCTCAACAACAATCTCAGTTTAAATTCAACCAAAATACCTTGAGATTTGTTCCAAAACTCTCCATGTGTGCATGCCAATGTGCTACAAGAATATTTACGTGGTGTTTTTTACCCTATTGCAAAACTCCAAGGGAAGTTCCTCTTAAAAATACATAATGATATTCTCCCACTTGTAGGAAGGGTGGGATGGACAAAAAAAATCTTCTACAAAACTTAAAAGGGATCATCAAATGTGTTATGGTAAGATTGTATGGTTGGACAATTGGATAGTTGAAGTGCTTTTAGCCAATAGGTTCAACTTCAAGTCTGATGATAATCAATGATGAAAACTTTGGATGAGGAAAGGGTCAGACAGGGGAAAGCACTTTCTTGGCCTCTGATTTGATACCCTTTCACCAATTACCAGCCTTGGAGCTATGTGCTTGAAGCAATGTATGTCTTGCTCCTCTTCCTTGCCTGCATATTCCTCATTGGGAACCTTGAACCATTTCTTGAGAGATTATTTGTGTGGCTCTCTTTTAATTTGCAATGTTGTAATGAAACCTATCTCTTGACAGCTTGAAGCATGCCTGTGGACTTGCTCCACATTTCATGCCTTATGTAAAGTCATTTTCTACCAAGAATACAAACAAAAAAATATACAGATGGGTGGAAGAAATCCTCTGCCCAAAGGTATTTCAACTGTCTGGGCTTCCACCCAGAATGAAAACTTGACAATACCCAAGAACTCAATTTCATTCAGGAACAAAAACATCACAAAGCACTCAAATTTTCAACACAACATCAAGACCATTCAGAAACAGATGAATCTATATAAGATCAGTCATTGTTGGCAATATCACAAACTGTTCTTTTAGGGTCTTAGACCTGTTAAAGTTTCTTGATGTGAACCTAACCAACCACCTCATAGATTGACACAGTTCATCAAGAAAATATCATTCGTATAACTTCCAAACCTTTCTCCCTGTCAGATCTAACTGTACTGTGTGTTTAGCAGGCCAGGTTGCAGGACATAGAAAAGGAAAATTTGAACACAGTGGTAATGTGATAGATGCCAAATAAATTTGGTTGAAGAAACTCAAGAACAAATATAGGCAGAACAGAAGTTCTTCTATAATTGACAATGAAAGGGAAGAAAAAAAAACCATTATAATTGGGAATAGGATTTATTTCCAACTGGGTATACTTTGAGTTTTTTACTCTTGGAAGCAGAATTCTTTTGCACAGGATCCAAGAATATTGCTGGGGGAAAGATGTCTTCTGCAGAGAAAAAACCGCAGATCTGGGTGAAAGATTTTGTCATGAGTCCTTTGTCCAGGCTATCAAAATATGGATGGGCTAAGGATTCATTAACCCAAAATGGTGGCTAATAGATGGCAAGAAGCAAGAGACTAGAACTTCAAAGAATGAACATCTTGAAATCTTCAAAATTAAATTGAATCTCAACATTTCATATCAAGAAAAGAGGGTGTTTTGAGGGGGAAATAAAAATTCAAAGTTTTTTTTATTGAAGATTTTGTAGAGGATGTAAAACATCTCAAAATGAGAATCAAAATGCATATTACACCACGGGAATCAATTAGTCCAAACCCCGATTGAAGAGAGTTGCGGTGACCGGGTTCACAACTTTCTTCAATCGCGGGTTTTGTTTGCCTTAGGTTTGCCATAGGTTTGCCAATTCCCCTCAAGTCAGCATGTCCTACAGTCAAGATCCCCTACATCATGGGTTGAGCGCAAGATCTAACATCATCAATCTTGTTGGGTATCCCCTCAACAGAATATCCTTCCACATCAGTCACCCCACGGGTTATCGCTATTCTTTGTCCCTCAGTATGAACAGAAATCCTCACAATCCCCTTTCAACCTTTGACCTTTCATTTGTAGGTATAACTCCCTATATATACTGTATGAAGTCAAGGTATATTGGATTCGCCGGATACAGGTATGCAGTCGTGGGTTAAGGGTGAGCTGTGAGTGTGGAAAGAAAGGCAAAAGGGTTTGACTCGGGTCAGCGGTCTCCAGAGTCCAGAGTGACATATAATACGCCGACTCGAGGGGAATCGGCAAACGAGAGCATGTCAGGATTGAAGGAGACTGGGAATGGGATGGGAATGGGAACGGTCTTCTTGCCCTGTATGGTCCAACAGTGTACAACCTAACAGGTGTACAGAAACGTACTGTGACCTCCTTGCTGAGATGTCCTTACAGGTCCTCACTGGTCCCTCTCCCTTGCTTCAAGAACATTCCCTTTCAATTGAGGGAAAATAACATGGCCTCCATCCATGTAGGAATCAAATTTTTGTCACAAGTTGAAGAACATGCCTCCCTCAGCACCCCAAAAGTCTTACATTACTCAGGATCATGTTAAACTTGTTGATCCACTTCCTCAACCTGCTATCAACCAATCTACTGGCCTCACCTGTCCCAAGTGTCCTGCACAATTGAAGTACGTGCAACCTTTTGTAAGATCTAGGACACAAGCCCAATTGGCCCATCTGATAGCGTGGCGGGTAGGCTTTTTGTTTCTTCAATTTACGCTAAGAAATGTTGACATATATTTCTTTGCTCTTCCTCTTTTCATTGTTAGTGTCCATCAAAAACCCACAAATTATATTTTTGTAATCTTACTCGGTCACTTCTTCTAGAGGACATCAAAAAGTGTAACCTTCATTCAAATTCATCTCGACCAGATATGAATATGAACAACCTCCTCAATCCAACTGGCGGAACTCAACCAAGACAAAACCAGGCTTCATCGACATCATGCCCTGGCCTCCCCAACAGTGAAATTGGGCCAAAACACCGTGAGGGAATTCCCAAAAACGTGAAATGCACGTATCAGCTATGCTTATCTGTAAGTTCTTGTGTTGCTTATGTACGTTGACAATGGTTTGTTTCTAATTCATTGTTTCATGTAGTGTTGCAATCAACTTCACAAATCTCATCCCGAAAGTCACTGTGTAATTCCAGGTCATCGTAGTGATTTGACTCAGACCACAAGTTCAAAACCCCGACCCAATGTGATTGAAAACTTTGTCCCCTACAGATCAGCCCAGCCATTGCAGTCCTCTCAAGCAAATCGTGAAATCACAGCGCTTGCGTCATCATCCGTGTTAGAACAAATTCATCGCAATCAAGTTGATCATAAAATCAAATCAATCAGGATGAGTGAAGCTGAAACCCGGGCATCTCGTACAGTGATTGTAGAGTTTTGGACCTCGGTCAGGAAATTGTTATCTTTTTTTTTTCTTTTGAGTGACTCGAGTGACTCGCACTGAAACCTTTTTTCATTACACAGGCATCAAACCGATTGATCTCACAATTTGAGGCCAAGAATTGGCCCTTATGCGCGTTGAGCGAGAGTCCAACTCTACAGTCTCAAGGCGAATCCACCGGTCTGTCCACTTGGAATACCAAGTTGTGGATATGGATGGCCAATTTGAAGTCCTGGGTATGTTAATCAAAGACTAATGATTTGTGACTGTGAGTCTGACCATGCTAACATTTGTACTTTTAACTAGGTGAATACACCACTAGACTTCGTTGTTCAATATCCTAAACAACCTCGGAAGATAGTTATGTATCTTGGTTGTTTTGATCCCAAAACTTGTCAAGGCCTACAGGAGTTGATCAATTCCTTGCGTCCTCAAAAGCTCTTCGAGTCAATGGATATGTCATCAATCCAGTCTTCCCCCAATCCTCCTTCAACCTCTGAACTCGATAGCTTAGCCTTTGATTGGACGCTTCTGCCTTCACCACTTTCAAAACAGTCCCTCACACCATGTAAATATCCGTGTAGCACGTCGACGTGCACACACGGAGAGTTTTGAAATAAATCTCAAAGTCTTTTGGTCGGATTGAGACTGAGATTTTTGCTGAGCACCCTTTGTGCTTTGTGATTTGTTTAAAGGATTTGCAGAATCCTTTGTTGTCAGTGGGGGCCAACTGACTTTCAACCTCCCAGGTGATAAGGGGAAGATGTACTTGTCGTGGAACCTCTTTGATGGGTCGTTACAGGGTCCACGGAAAGTCTTTCGTGTGTGCGCGTGGACGTGCTACACGGATATTTACACGGTGTCAAGAATGAGATTATATGTCTCAGTGATCTTCCAAGCGAACAATCTCCAAATCAATGGTCTGTCATTCACGAATCAAACGAGGTTGAGATACAGACTCCAAAACCCGCGCAGGAGAAGCGAAAGAAAAAGGTGAATTTTGTTTTTGCTCATTCTTTTTTTGTTTTTTTCTGCGCAAAGTCTGACTTTGAGCTGTATGTAGGATGAACCCTTAGAAACATCCTTGAAAAACTGGCCTGGAGATTCGATGCTTCAAGATGCACTGAATTGGTACAACTCTGTCAGACCTACTCTAGATCACAAAGCGGCATGGATCTCTCAGTTTGGAAAAGTATGGCTGGCGGGAAAAACTTCAATCTATCGACACTACAAATTTATTGAAATTGTTACACCAGCCAAGTTGGACGAGATACTCAGAAAGCAACCGGCAACTTCATTACGTCAAGCTCGTAAACTACACCCTAAGGAGTGGCAAGTTGCTCGATCGGACAATAAACACCAAGATGATGAAGATTCAACAGGTCTGTCTTCTCGGCCTTTGAAGCGTTTCAAGACTGAGGTGCCCCAAGCTAGTCACATCGAATCAGACTCCGAGATTGAAATTGTTCATTAAGACTCAATTTCACACTACAAACATATCAAAATTTGTTTCTTTCTTCATTCATTTTGTAAAGCAAACCGGGAGGTGAAGTTTGTATCGTTCCGATCGATTGAAATTTGACACACTTCAAATTGAAGAACAGAATGAAAACTTTCTGAATTCGTCAAGCAAGCACATCAACTTGCTTGACGACTTTAAAACACAGAGTAAGACTCCTTCAACTTTCAAAACCAAAGTCAATTGGTTTGACTCGATGTGATTGAATCAATTTCAAACCCGGATCTCTTGCTTTTCGTGTCTTACAATGAAGCGATTTATTTATGTAATGAAGCAGTCATTTACTTTGTTTTTATGCTTTTTAAATGATGATTTGCACTGTAATTTCATCTGTCTGCGAGCAAAAATCTGAACTTATTTTTGAATCGCAAGCGCCAAAAACCATTCTTAGAATCTCAATGATTTTAAAGAAGTTTTGATATCTCTCGGTCTGCCTTGCAGAAAGATTTCAAGTGCCTCAGCTCTTCTTTACCAGCTCAAGTCAAACCATTCTACCTGAAGAATCGAGACCCGTAATGCATACTTATCCATCACTCACATCAAATTTGACATGTCTCACACCAAGCTACTATACAAAGTCTTTTGAAACAATTGCTGTACTTCGAATCAATCTGATGGGTTTTTCAAAAGTTATTAAAACAACCCAAGCTCATATCATCTGCTGGAGCCCTTGAGATGATAAGAGTAGATTATCAATCCGATTCAAATTTTTTAATGACCAATGCTATTTGTTTCTATATCTCCTACCTCAGACTCAAATTCCACACAAATCACACAATACTTCAATCTTTTTGAGAATTTATATTCAAACACTAATTTTAAAATGAACAGCACACTCACAAAATAAATTCATGAAGAGTATAAAGCTTTTCATAAAAAACACATCCAGACTGTCCCAAGCTCTCTAATTTCCAAAATCAACAATACCTAAATGAGTTACATCTTGCCGTTGAGCCAATTGCTTACAAAGCCAATCATTTCTCAATTCTACCAGCACATTCAGAGTGAAATCATACTGAATAGCTGTCATGTTTCGGCAGATAGAGGCAAACCCTCCATACCAAACATTTCCAATTTCTGCAGCAGAAGAGTTGAAGATCCAATTTTCGTCTTGGCCCTTCAATTGTGGATATATATTAGGGTCAGTCCAGGTACGACAGAAACAATCATTTTCTGAATGAGACTTGAAGTGAAAAGCATCAACTGCTATTATTGAACCTTCAAAAAGCTTTTTGCCCTCAGGAGATTTGAATATGTGTTGCAAAAGCTTGCATGCATTATCATAAAAAATCACCTGAGGCATGGCATTTGGAAAGGTTTCCTTGAGGAATAGCTGTGACACAAATCACAAGCAAATAAGTTGAGGTCAGTAATAAGATCAATAACACTGTAAAAAAAAGAGGATGTCGGACTTTTACTGCACTGGGAGCCTCTGCATTGTACATAGTCTGTCGAGCCAAGAATATACCACATGTAGCAACAATTAATTGGTCATTATGTGTGCGGCATCGAGTGAGACGAACAGCATCAGGCTTTGCAAACTCTCCATCTCATGCATTCTCTTCAGCTCGATCAGACTCGTCAGCCTGTTGGATTTGTTGAAAGCCACGAAGTTCAGAAGTGACAGGGTCTTGATGAACAGTTGGGTCAATACGTAGGGATGATTTAGGGCGTGTAAGCATTGATGTCAGCTGGAAATTTGAGTTGACTCGGCGCTTGAATTTCTGAAATGCTTGAATATGTGCTTCCAAATGACAAGTCTTATGACCTTCCATCACACGATTTGTGCAAGGCTGAGCTGGGCAGATGTCCTTCAAGTGTTCATGATGATAAGAGCAGTAAAGATCATTCACTTTCTGTAATGGTCTTTTGCAAGGGCCGTCTGGAGCCGGTTGACCGGGTAGTTCAGCAACCATCTTACGCTGGGCCTCTGACGCACTGCACCGCCAGAATCCAATTGTGACACCATCAGTGACTACAGCTCGAATTACTGGGTGAAATATAGATAATAAAGCATGTCAGAAATCATTCATAGAGATTGGGATGTAAGTCACATACATTGTACACCTTGTTCAGTTTGAGTACTGTGGGTACATAGGCTACAGGCATGATTCTTGTGTGGTGATCCAGTGCTTGCCACTCGAGCTGAATAATATTCTTTGGCTTTGTCAAAGCGCTTAGAATCAAGCCCATCATTAGGAACCACCAATTGTTGATTGAACCCTTCCATGTGACAAATTAATGCTTGTATAGTCATTCCATCTTTACAAACAGTTTCAGATAACGACGGACTAAAAGTGGTATTGTCCGGGAAGAGAGGTGGTGGACTGGCAGTGATAAATGTATCATTGTACAAGTTTACTATATTAAAAATAGAAGCACTGCAGTTGTTGTCAAACAAAATTAGCATAACACATTGTAAAAAACATCAAACATTTTAGGTTTGGATTCTTACTGCATAAGCATTTGTGTCATCCAAAACGAACGTGCTAGCTGGACAGTCATGAAATAGTGGGTGTGGACTTGAAAGATTGTTGGGTCCCGACGTTGGGAAGATTTGTAAAATTTGCGCTTTTCCTCCCTTGAAAAGTAGCTGTGACGAAAAACTGTGTGACAATCTAATCCAGAACCAAAGTCATTGGTAAGCTACAAGTCTTTTTCTCTGAATTAATTGCCCAATCACCTCGGCATATATAAGCAGTGTGCTGAATTGTATGACACCCATCCGTGTCATAGAGATATCCCGACAACGTTTTGGATTCAAGCTTTCGGGTGTTGGGGCATATAGGGCACTTGCTGATTGATATTGGTGGTAGTAGATATTTATAAGGAACATAAGGAGGGATGATACCATCGGGCAGGGTTGGTAAAATTCCATTGAGCTTGATGATGTCTTTGGTGTTGATATGAGCACGTGAGAGAAAATCAAAGCTATGCTTCCAGAGGTTGTCGATGTGGCAGTGCATCCGTGCAGGTAGACTAGCCTCCAAGAATCGATGTGGCCTCCTGTCTGATCGCAAACCGAGGCCTTCAGCATTACGATCAACCACATCAGACGCTACGGTGAGGAATTGACTAAGATCTTCAACATGAAGAGTGTCTAAGATGTTTGGATTGTTCGCTCGTAGATTGTCAATGAAAGCCCGAAGTAACATCTTGGTGTGTAGGAAATAAAAACGAGATATAATTTTTGATGAACTGAAATGCCTTGCTCGTTCCTTGTCCTTGATGACACCTCAAGGCTCGAATTGGATGCGGCCCAAATCCTTTTGAATCCTTGCCCAACAAGTGTGACAAGTTTTATTTGTAGTGGAAACCACAAACAAAGCTCGATCGAGTTTTGATCTGGGTGGCTTACATCGGCCATCATTAAACACTTTTTAAAATCCTTGCCAAATGTTATGTCCACTTGTGCTTCAATAAAGAAACGCTCGGAAGTCATGAAACTCCTACTCGGAGTTGTTGACTTGTACCAATTTCCCATTATCTCATATTTGACACATTCATAAGTAAACATCTGTAGTCTACAAAGAAAGGTCACAACCTGAGCAATCGGCGATGTCAAGCCTTCAGAGATCTGAGGAAAGCACAGATCCGAAACCAGGGGGTGTACAACCAATCGTACATGGTACAGCCAATCGTACATGGTACAGTACTGCGCACACTGTACAGTTCCCAATCCCACTTCCACCATTCCCAAATTCCTTCGATCCTCAAGTACTCTGGGGCAAACCTATGGCAAACCTAAGGCAAACGAAACCCGTGATTGAAGAAAGTTGCGAACCCGGTCACCGCAACTCTCTTCAATCGGGGTTCGGACTAATTGATTCCCGCGGTGTTATCTCCAATACTGGAAGGCAAACCTTTCTACTACATAGAAAGACAGAGGTACTTGAATTGTATTTTTCAGCAATGACCACCTGATCAGAACCTGCAATGATCATTGTGTCAGTGATGTCAATTTTAGAATCACCGAGATGCTTCATGGCAGAAGTCTGAAATGGATTTGTCTGATTCCAGATTCATATGTTATACAAAATATCAATACAAGCTGAGGATTTACAGATTTTCCTGTAGTACCTGACCTAACAAACATCCACGAGAAGCACCTTGGTCCCTGATATTCTAGATCTTGTTGAAAGCAGATAATTTGTCAAAGATAAATTCTGCCTAAGAACAAACTTATTCACCATCAGTCTATCAAATTCGGTCCAATATGGCATAAATTCCTTTGCGTTGTACATATTAAATGAATGAATTCACCGTGGATGGGCAAAAACCAGAGAAGATATGTCGCTATGTAATCGCGTGAGTTTGGAGCAGAGAATCCTAGACTATACGTGGATCCGTAATCCATTGCTCAAATGAGTTCCTAAATTGATTATTGTTGATGGCGTTTTCCAAGGAAAATTGATCAAGCTGCAAATAATGGGGACTAATTCGAAGTTTATGATCTTTGGGAAAACATTGCGCGTTTGTGGTCCGACAAATACAGGGAGTCGAAAGAGATGCCCCAGCTCTATTTGGTTTACGAAACGCTCGCTGGTCTTTCAGGCAGAGAAGATTGCTCATTTAAAGAGATTACAACGGCTTTACTGACTTACCAGATGTCGTATGTCCTACTTCTTAATGGGGTGTGGTTGGATTTGAGTTAGCTTTCGGCGCATTCCGAGTATGATCAGGCCACGTGTCGAAATATCTCACGTGCATCAGAGGAGAAGACCGTAAGAAGTCACAATTGAGCACTTCCTGGTTGGGTTCGGGCTTTAGATGAACAACGAGTGCTTTCCCGGGATACTCCCGTTATGTATACGAATTGATCTTGGAATCGAGAGGGAAAGAGCTACAATGTATATTCGAGTAAATTCGCGGTGGACTCATTGAGGTCGTCTAGAGCGGGACGAAGTTATCTAGAGCTGACGATTTTTCTATATAAATCATCGTGGCGCAGGTGAGGTTCATCCTTCATCAAACATCCCCAGCTCGTTGATTGATAGGATCACAATCCCTTCCTCACCTTTATAATTTATTTTTGTTGATTTAATCGGAAATGTTGCTGAGTAGTTTAGTGTCGGCGCTTGCGCTCAATGGTAGGATGATTTCTCATTGCTACATAATCTGAATTCCTTTCTGCCTACCAAATTTATGCTTGCTTACAAGCTTTTCGGTCTTCGTATTGTTTCAGCTTGCTTTGTCAAGGGTACCTTTCATCCCACCTCGTTTGGTAACCTTCCCCATAACGCCTTTGGCCCAGGCGGGTCTTTTGGAGCAAGTTTATCAACTCACTTCGACGCTTCTTTTGGTACCATTGACGGCTACAAGCCGACTTTCACGCAAGCGTGCCAACAAAAGAAGCCCGATGTCTTGATTCAAGGCTTGGTCGATATCAAAGCTTCGATATCCGTTCTAGGATCAGCTGACGGACTTGTTCAAGTTGATGTCAATGTAGGTTGATGTTTGACTGAAACTTTCAAGTATCCTCTGTCATGGAATCTTACTTCTGTCCATGTTTAGACTTTGACGACCAAAGTGCTTAACTTGATGGTCAAACTTCAAGTGATATTAAAAGTTATTGATCAATACAAGATGACATCCTCTTGTTCGAGTAAGTCCTATACTCGCTACAGCCTTGGATATATGGAGAGTCTCATTAATCACATTTTTTGTTTGTTTTGTACAGGTGCCATCGTTGACTTGAAGGGTTCGTTACAAATTATGATATCTGCTGTTGCTTCGCAAAACACGGATATCAGTACCCAGTGTAAGAGTGCCGGTGTGGACTTGGACTTTTACGCCCGTGTTGGAATTAAACTCGATCTCAGCGCTCAGGTTGGTGCTGGTGCTGGTGCTGGTGCTGGTGCTGGTGCTGTTGCTGGTGCTGGTGCTGGTGCTAGTGCTGGAGTTAATGTCGACGCCTCAACCAAAGTGGTTGCTGACCTCCAAGCTGCAGTCGGCGTCACGGCTGACATAGCGCCAAAGTTCAAGAGCGCCTGCGAGCAGAAGAACGTCGATGTTGTTGTTAGCAGTCTAGCTACCATCAGAACCTCAATTCTCGGCTTAGGAACCAACGTCAACGCCTTTGCTAAAGTTGATGCCAATGTAAGTTCTCGTCTGTGTCATCTTTTTTTATCGTCTTCTGAATCTTCTGATATCAATCACGTCGCAGGTCCTCAATACCAATGTCATCAGCCTGTTTGTCAAACTCCAAGTATTGCTACGTCTCATTTCTGATAACCATCTAAGCTCTCAATGTCAAGGTGAGTCACAAATATGCCTTTTGGCAATCCCCCGAAGTTGCTCAAGTCACCGTTACCTTCTTCCATTCAGGTGCAATTGTCGCTTTGCAAGCTCCCTTGAAAGCTGTTGTATCGATCTCCGCGTCCGTTGGAGTCGACGTCTCTGCCAAAATTTCAGCGTCTGTAGATGTTAATCTGTTCGCTCAAGTTGGACTTGACCTTGGCATCAATGCCAACGTCGCTGCTGGTGTCGGCGCTGGTGTTGGTTCTGGTGTCGGTTCTGGTATTGGTGGGATAGGTAGTGCCGGTTTCGGTACTGGTGCCCATGTCGACCTTTCAGCCAAGGTGGTCACTGATCTGCACGCTTCGACGAGTTTGATGCACGACCTCGAACCCAAATTCAAGACCGCATGCGCGAACAAGAATGTCGATGTTGTTGTGGGCGGATTAGCTAGCATTAAAACCTCCATCGTAGCTTTGGGACCCAGCGCCGATGTCTACGCCAAGGTTGATGCTGAAGTAAGCGTTAATCTGTATTTATCTTGATGATAGCCTTCTGACTCTTCTGATATCATTTCGCAGACCCTCACCACCAACGTCCTTGGTATATTTGTCGAGCTTCAAGTATTGCTACGCCTCATCTCGGACTCCAATATGGGCCCTTCATGCAAAGGTGAGTTGGCAGTGGTTTTTTGACAATCATGTGAAAGTGCTAATGTAAACAATACTTCCTTCGATTCAGATTCTATCGTCGCTTTGCAAGCTCCGCTGAAAGCCATGATATCTGTCGCGGCTTCTGTAGGAATTGATATTTCTGCCAAGATTTCGGCTGCTGTGGACGTTAACCTATTCACGCAAATCGGACTTAGCATTGGCGTCAATGCCGCTGTTAACGTCGGTGCTGGTGTTGGCGCAGGTGCTGCTGTTGGCGCGGGTGTGGGCGTTAGCGCTGATACATCTGCCACAGTCCTTGCCAACTTCAAAGCCTCTACCAACGCCGCCGTTACACTCGCTCCAACCTTCAAGACCGCTTGCGAACAGAAGAACGTTGCAGTCCTTAACCAAGGCTTGATCAGCATTGTGGGTTCGATCGCATCCGTTGGGGCACAGGCCAACGTCCTTGCTCATGTGTCTGCTGACGTAAGTCTCGCTTAAAGCATCGAAGGTCCAGTCAAATTCTAATGCTACAATGTGCTTTGCCTCAGGTCCTATGTACTCAATTCTTTGACCTCTTGATCAAAATCCAAATCCTCTTGAAGATCATTGACCAACATAGCCTGGCCTCATCGTGCAAGGGTAAGCTACGGTGATCTTCAAAGTTCAAATTGTGTAGTCTTACTGACATGATCATCCGCCTTTATCTCTTCATAGGCTCCATCGTTTCCCTGAATGCTCCTTTGAAATTATTACTCTCAGTCCTTGTTTCCCTTGGAGTTGATGTGTCGGCCAAAGCAAAGGCATACACATCCCTAGACTTGGGTTTCTTCGCTAACGTTGGGGTCACTCTCAACATCCAAGTTAGTGCCTCAGTCAACAGTTCGCATTGATTTTTGCATCAGCTTGTTGTTATCGCATTATAGAATCCTGAAAGGACCTACATCTGTTACGAACGCTGTAAAAGAAGTTGTTTAAGCACACATTTTTAGCAAGTCGAGAAACCATATGCGCGAATTCGAATTTTCTGTTTTGTATCACATGATTGTTGTAGTAGATGCTTCCCTATGAAATTATCAAAGTATCTTTATTTTCCCATAAACGCCTTGCAATGTGACTGATGGGTTTGCATAACTTTAAGTTTAGTCCTTGGGTCCTAGGGAACCCATTCAAACCGCATAAGTACACGTGTTTGACCAACATGCCTCCAAACCTTGATGCGTGTATGAGAGGCGAGCTACGCTCATTGTTATGACACCAGCAAACAGATTCATTGATGAGAGGGAAATTTGTTCACCAAGTGCATTGAAAATGTCTTTAGTACTGTTGTTCCCAAAGAGCTTGTACCAGTTTTCCCGCAAAACTCGAGCAGTTTGGCGCGGAATTTTTGGCAAGCTTTGTAAGAACAACAGTAGAAAACCTTGTTAATTGATGTTACCTTGATACAAGTTGTGGCTGTAGTGTTGGTTGGTACATATTTCATGGGGTTTGCTGGTCAAGGTATGGGATAGGAGGTGAGGAGCTTAAATTTGGCTTGTACTGCAAAAACCCAATGGACTAGAAGGGATTAAATTGGCTCTACATATGGGCAGGGCTCATGCTTGTTTAGGAGGAATTTGTTGATTTTATAACCTTGACTGTGTGAAATGTCTTGTGAACTCTCAAACATAAACCTACATAAAATTCACCCAACCAACAAAGCTAACTGAACACAATTTTTGATGACAACCATCTGGATTTTGGTCAACAGGAGCTATCCTTGGCCCTGAAACACAACATCTCAGGCCACAACCCCTGCTAGTCCTGGGACCAAAGAAGACCCGAGTCCAGGTGAGAGCCTTCAGTAATGTTGATGTATGTTCCGAGAGACCCCTTAAAACCCATACAAGTATGTGTTGGACTGAATGAACTTTGACTCACATCACATTGTTTATCAGGTTAAAAGTATACTTTCAATGCAAAAATAATGTGTTTCTCCAACACCCATGGGGAAAATGATTGACAAAAAATTGTAACTGGAATTGGGGGCTCATTTTTGGCCCAAAACACGTGAAAAAAGATCTGGGGAGAAGTGTGATGATCTTTGACCTGGAACTTTGTTTTGGAGTTGCTTGAAGTGTTTAACTTGGTGTCAAGAAGTACAAAAAATCTGACAAAATCAGGAGGGAGCAGAGATGCCCCTTGTGATGGGTGATGTTTTTTGTATTTGTCAGTGCCTTTGTCTTGGATAGATGCAAGGTATAACATAAGACCTTGTTTTTTATTTGCCAAATAAATTTCAAATGCATGAGTGTTTCACAGATTGTCTCCAAAAAATGTACACATAATGTTGCATCCTTTGTTGTGTTGCAAATCCTTTTTTGGGTGTTTTTTGAGCCTTGTAGTCAGTAGCTTTTATATAATTTTAACAACACACATGTGATGACTTACATGCTGAGCCAGGAAAATTCTGAAAAAACAATGCAACAAAGGGGTTATTGTCTTTCACTTGTCATTTTTGTCCAGATCATTTTTGTCACTTTTGGACGCTAAATTGAGTGAACAAGTCCTGTATTTTTAGTTTGTATGTCAGGAAAGCCTTCAACATCACCAAACTGAGTGCTTGAATTTTTCTACATTGGCCAAAAGATCCTAACAGGAAGAACATAGCACAATTTAAATTACCTGATTTTTTAGTTTTTGTGGACCAATATGAAGCATGGCATTTTAAATACTATATTTACTCATTTTTGTAGTGTTACCCATTTCCACACACCGGGAAAGATATTCATTGGTCAAGGGGAAAAGGTTCCTCAAGAAGAACAAAAATTTGATCTTCAGTCACAAATCTTACCAAATGATGTCTCCTTAATTTGATTGTTGATTTCTCAAACAGTATACTTATGATAACTGATGTACATTTCTTTTGGATTCTGTTCACTGAAGTGGCATCCAGTCAAGATGTCTCAATTCAAAATTCTGATGTGTTATTGGATGGCAAAAGTGGTCAATTTCAGATTTCCACTGCGGCGTCAAGGACTGGTTGTATCATCTCGTCACACGTACTGTCCAAGGACACCTGAGATTGTTGAATCCAAAGCATATTTACTGGCAGCATGGACAAGAATCAACACCCTGCAATTTAATCAGCATCACTACGGTCTAGACCAAACCTGATCAAACAGGCATATAAGGGTTTTCCTCTACTCTGAAGGGGGCTCAGTCCAACGCGCGACGTACAATACTTTGCAATTATCAGAAGAAATAACAAAAAGTTAGAGGAAATAACAAAAGAATGTGCCTCGAGGGAAAAACAGGTTGAACGATTGAATGATGAGGGATGATCAGTCTTGGAAATGATAGGCTTGAAAAATGAATACCAGGTAAAACTTTGGCATTTGCTGAAGCTCTCCCTAGCAACCTTCTGTTCCTTCATCTTCATTGAGGTGGCTTTGCTAGAGTAGGTATCTTATAGCTCGCACCCGGAGGAGATATCCTACAACCGTTGAAAACATCAACCATGGTGTTCAATGAAGGAGAGATGAAGCCATAGCAAAATCACGAACTTGTGACAATCATGAACTTTCCCCGGTGGCCCTGGTGCTGGAGTGCGTAGGTCACCTTGATTGAATGTGTGAATCGAGCCGTTGGGGAGTCGATCTACAGGGGGTGGTTCCGGTTTTGCTTTGAGCCTTAGAGCCAACCCACAGTGCGACTAACCGCGGAAAAAATGTCAGAGGATGCTCACATTCGCCCATCGGCAGTGGCACGTCGTCTCCCTTGCAGGTGTCAAAACCAGGAGAATAGTCCCCCGGTATATTCCACCTGCATGCCAGCAAGTCATCTATTATACCCCGCAAAGTGGACCAACATCAAAACTTGAATGTGGAAAATATAGCGAGTCGTGTAACTCACAAATGTGATTGCAGTATCTCCATGCATCCGGTCCATTGAAACAAACCCGAATACAAAATTCGTCGGTCAAGAGGAATTCGGTCCATTGTTCGAACTGGTTATCTTTTCCAAACACTAGCCCACCTGTGATAGTGGATGCCAAAGTCAAACTTTTGATTGTGATTGCATCACGATAATATTTTTACACTCACCAACGGGGTTGCCCTTGCGGTCCCAGCTGTGGTCACGGGGAATTAGCGATAATTCGCACACGGTAAACTGCTGTTTTGATCTCATACCTATTGGGATCTGATGTCTCGATAGAACACAGCAAGAAAAGTGAGAACACGTCATACGTACACACGGTAGCTGAACACTCACCCATTTCTCCACCATCGTTGCCGGGGATCACATTGATATTGGTCATCTGTTTTAGATCGTCAGCATGAGGTTTCTCTGAGAGCGTGTGTAAATCCGACGCTCAAGGGTCTTACAAAAAATTTGCTTACATTTCCACGTCCAGAAATTTGTATGTAATGCTAATTGAAGGCAAAAATACCGAGATGAGCTCAAACAATGGAACCCGGAGACTTATAGTATCTGCCCACCTTCGTGACTCTGATGGACGCAGGAGCATTTATCAGCTTCTAGCCCTATATTTCAACACCCTTGATATGATTCGAAGAAACATACACGTAATGCACACTCGTGAATGTCCCCGGAGGAATTAGTCGAGTACCATAGCCATCCATTGTACAGTACGAGACCGCATCTCTTTCTGTCGCTGACACGCCTGCCATATAAGGAGCTATAAGGAGCCGGAAGGTGAGCGTGGAGAAAAGAAAGGATTACTACGTATAGTCACGTACGCCCAAAGATACAAAACTCGGTGGCACTTTTGATCCACAAATTTCTAAGAAGCTAACCGTTAGTTCTAGACTATAACGAAGAGAAAGATGATGGTCCTCAAGAAAGGGTGCTCACTGGCATTTGCTATCAGGACTGGATTTGGTGCCGCATTGGTTGTAACCAGATTGGCCATCTGGTATGGCTCTTAGAGGTGGGTTGTGAGGGTCTATGCCTTTGATGAGTGCATGAACTGCGTAAACGAGGGCCGATAGGCAAAGGAGAATATGCCTAAATTGCTTCATGGGACTCGATGTTTGGCGTGAAGGATTGAGTTTGTCGAAAAATTCGCAGTTTCAAGGAACTGATATCAGATTAGAAGACGAGGTAAGCACCGAAACCAATGATGAGTGTCAGAAAGAATATGGACGATTGATTTGATACCGCATTTTAAGTATGAGACTGACAGTGTTCAAGATTGTGCTCAAAAGAAAGACGATACAATCTACTCGGGATGAGCAGCTGAGGTAGATCGAAACAGGAGAGCATCCAAGGGTATCTTTGACTAATCTTGATGCAGCTCAAATTCTCTTTGAGGAAGTCTGGACGAGTGATGACTTGAGGACATCTGAACAAGCCTGAACCAATTCCCCAAAAAAATTTGAAAATAATCAACAAAGTATCAAGAGTTGAGCTCATACAGGTGGCTCATTGAGCTGACTCTGAGAGAGTGAGCGTGAGAGAACAACGGAGTTATTGCTGTGGAGTCGCAGGCGATATCTGCGCAGAAATGACGATTGTATTTCCAATTCTCTATCAACAACATTTGAACACGGCCTCACTGAGCAGATTCCTGCACACTCTCACTGAGAGGCCCTTTGGGTGTGCGTTACGCGCTGGTGACGATAGTATTTTGCACTCAAAGAAAAAGCTCAGAGAGATCCTACTACACACATCTTACAAAATAATTCAGGATATTTATGTAAGTATGTTAATGTATCAGAAGCAATTGCTAATTAAAGAAGACAATCTTGACAACCCTTCCATCGCACGGTGCCCAGCGACACGGAATGCCCACCTGCGCACCGGTGCATCTGCAAAGGCCCGACAATGATCGGAGTGGACTACATACACAAAGTTCCAGATCCAAGTTCGAGGAGATGACTTGGACCTTCGGCGGTGCAAATTGCCTTCATTTGAAATCGCAAAGTCCCTCGATGCGGGTACACGCCGGGAGCGCCGTGACGGACTGTAGACCGTCCTGACGGGCGGTATGCAGGCGGTCTACGCCTCTGCAATGATGGGCGGCCTACAGACCGCCCACTGAGCTTGCGCCTGCTGGGCGCAAGCTGGCCAGGGCAGCAGGCGGCCAAGTGGCGCCTCGTAGGCGCTATCAAACTGCCTGCAGACGGTCCAGGACCAAGGAGGCCGACAGGTTCCAGGCACAATCCACCACCCAGCCCGGTTGGAAATACTCGGGTCGCTCAGGTAGGGAAAAGCTGGTTGGACTGGCACAAGATGAGCACAAGATGGGCACGATCACACGGCAAGATGTAGGTCAAGTTGATATTCTATTTCAATGACAAAGAGAGGGGATTCAAGGTGGTAACAAGTGTATCTATTTTCATTTCAATCTGAATGGCTTTCATAAAGTTCTGTAGCTATTATTTTCCCTCACATATTGTTGTCTGCAATGACATCCGTACGTTCTTCATAATGCGGTAGGGTTCGGGTTAGGTGCACCTTGAGGGTTAGCGGCGTTGTGTGCCACGCGTGCCATGACGGCCTCCACCGTTGGTAAATCCAAATTGATCTTTCTTTGTTTGAGGTCTTGAAAGTAAGTATCGCCATCGAAGTACTTGCAATCTTCGTCAAATATGATTTGATAGAAACTATCATTCAAATTATGTCAGCAATTGTTGATATTACAAGGTGGTTATTCAGTTAATTGACGTACGCAATCGCGTAGGCATCATCATCTTTCCTCAAACGCATAAAGGATAGTTGCTTGTCGACACAGGCCCATATAGACTGGCTCCCTTTTCCGCCTGTTATCACGATCCTCGCGGCTTCACAACGCTGCCGTTCATCAACAGAGAGATTAAATAGATCGCGGTCAGCCATGAATTATGCAATAAATATTTATAAATCAAGACTTACAAGGTACGCAATACGCGCTCGCGTGAGTGAGTCAGTGGCTGCATACACTGCGTCAATGTGTAAGTTCAAACCCACAGTGCCACATCGAACAGCTATCTACAAAGCAGTACCAGTAAACCTCATATCGGTGATAAAAACATTGAAGAAAACTAACTCTTTGGACCATGGACCTGATGGTTGGTACGGCTTCCGCGACCTCCTCGCCAGTCTTCTGATCATGGATGCCTTCCAAGAGCTGCTCAAAGAAAAAAGTTGGTTAAGCTATGTATTCAAAGAGTCCACATAGCTAGATACTCACCTTGATGTGAACCTTTTCCCTAGCATGCTTAGCGCACTCTTTGATCGCACTGTAGTACCTTCTGGTTTGAGAAGCCTCCTCTACTCCCTGATGCACAGCGGGAAGATGTTTGGCTTGGAAGGAAGTGCTTTCCTTGGCTACCGTGAGCTGCAGTTTAGGCCCGAGTCAGCAACATGAGGTTTCATTAGCATGTAAGCTTACTTTTATCACATTGAACAATGAATTAGGGAGAGTGCCCTCAGCTCGGTTCTTGATGGCAGTGTACGCGCTCAACTGGGGTGAGGCCATAAGCTTCAGGGCGAGCGGGTTGATGAAGTCCTGCGGGATATAAATAGGTCAATGATCCACTTTGATGAGTCAAAATGGATCAAACGTACAAGGAGCTGGGGACTAGCATTCCAAAGGCCATCTTCATCGGAGGCTTGGCTGGCGGTCGGCTCCAACGTGGACGGTGTAGAACTTAAAGCTCAACAAGAGCTTTACAGAGCTTAAAGAGGGATAATCTACTAATAAAGTATCTAGTAGAAGTTGCCTAAGACTGCCTCTTTGAAAGAATCAACACGGGGTTTTGCTGAATTCTTTGGGATAAGGCACCAGAGAAAGTTGTCTCAATATTTAATTCAAGTATTATTCCCGTGATTTTTAATTATAAAGAAATCTCAACACTATTGTAGTGTTATTCCAATTTGAACACAATAAAACACAATTTTAATTACTAGCAAAGCAACAATCAGTTTGATTGTTATTCCAATGAAGACTTGTAGTCTTATCACACGTAAAGAAATCTCTCCTTTGATGTAAAGGGGCAATTTAGTGAACTTAGTACTGGTAAAGTAATTTAATGATGATTAAAAACACTCTAACAAAAGTATAAGATGAGTAAAAAGGGGAACAAAGGCCCGTAAAATCCTTAACAATAGTATATAACCCTCCAACAACCTTCAACAATGGTCAACAACCTCCAAAAAACCCTTAAAAACCGTCAAAATCAACAGAATATCCTCCAATGTAATCATATGATGTCATAAATATTATTGTTTGTAATGATTCAAGGCGTGAATTTGATCAATTGATGTAAATAAATGATGAACAGATCTTCTTATGATGAATACAGGTGATTTTTTCCTAATATTCATAGCTGAAATCCATTTTTGGAATTACAAATTTTTTGTAAAGTTGTTCAATTTTGGATTACTATAGCTCATTTGATAGCCCTCGCGATTCTGATCATTTATCACCCCTATATCACCTATTTCTGATGTGTGATGAATAAGTTATTGAGTTGTAAAGATTGCAAAAATAAAGTTTTGTCATGTAAATGTCACATGTAACCTCCAAATTCGAAATTCACTCCAGTTTCTTTGTTGCCTTATAAATTTTTCACTACTCCTCCGCTACTAATGATTTAAAGGCTGTACATTATGAAACCAATGATTCTGCGTCGAATGAACTATCACACACCCAATTCTGACAAGTTTTACCATATGTAATTAACTGAAAACTCCCATTTTTGATGAATTTTGACTATTTTCACGTCTAATAATGATTTTCCTTCTATCAAAAGATCACACAGCACTCCAATCAATCACACAGCATTAAAATCCTTCTGAAAAACTCTTGACGCAATCAATCCATCAATGACATCACTACACAGGAATTAATACCATAGTACCTTTCTTCGAAATTTCCCTTTTCTTGAATAACTTCACACTTCCCTTATCAATCCTCATGATTAAAGTTGCTGATGACTAATGTGATCCTTCTATTTCACAATAAAACCTTCCTGAACCAATATCTCTTCTAATAATAAGCTAAAAACCATTTTCCAAACTTTCATACCCATATTTTCAAATTTTTCTTCAACTTTCTTAATATTCTTCTTATTCTTCCATTCTTTTCATAACAGTTTCCATTCCTAAAGATCCAAACTAAATGTTCTTCTTCCTCAAATCTCCTCTTACTAATTCTCCTAATTTGATTTTCACTCTTTTACTATTTTTATTGATCTTTTCGAATTTTTCTTTACTCTTAAATGTTCTTATCAATTACTTATGTAAATATATGATTTGAAAGATAATGAAATGAAGATTATAAATCAACTTTGATAGCCTTGATTACTAATAACTTCAATAATAATAGTGCCTTTGACCAAAAACTCGAATTTTCACATAATTTTTAAATTTTTTGCTTAAGTAGAGATCTTGCTCACCACAACGGAGCGGGAGCTGAGGCCATATCTTGAACGATCTGTGTCACCGTAGCAAGATTCTCAGCCACATTGGCGACTTGTGACTGGAGCTTGGACACCTCCATCAGAATTTGGCCGTGCATAATTGCTTGGGCCAAGTGACGGTTATTTTCACCAAAGACCTGAATAATGAGCCGCAATCATTAACTAACATCAAATGATCTTTGTGTTTGATTGAGGTTAAGTGACTACAAACTCACCTCAGCCTGGATCATGGCTACCTTGTGGGACGCAGGATCTAATCCGGCCTGCAAGGACATGGCTTCGAAGTTTTTGAGCGTCTGGGTTGCCAGGGTACACGCGTATACACCAAGATCAGGTTGGCTTGTTGTTTGGTCATTGCGAAGTCCCAATGGATCAGTTGGGCCACTTGCACCTACACGACCAGTTTGCGAAGTGAGAGAGGGTTGGTGGTTAGGACGCAAGGACGTTCCTTGTGGTGGCCTTCCTCGCGGTGAGACCGAGCGATCATTTCTAGATCGGGAGGAATTTGAAGTTTGACCAAAGCTCGTATCGTTCATCGCAGGCCCACCTAGGCTAAATGTTTGACTGGGTGTCAAACTGTCATTTCGTTCTCTCGGCGGACCTTCAAACCCAGGACCTGCCAAGAGGGAAATCAGCAGTGGGACATGTTGTTTCGAGTGAAGCGCTTCTTACCCAAGTTGTTCATCAGGCCACCGTGGTTATTCAACCCAAATAGTGAACCCGACGAACCTGTAGGCGGGCCCTGGGAACCACCAAATGGTGTATCGAAAAAATTGTCTACAGGATTCAATATCCAGCGTGAGTGAGTTACCCAGTGATAGTTAGATGGAACCGGGGGAAATCTTACTGAAGGAGTGATCCACGTTCATGATTTGCAAGATTCTTTCCAAAGCGAGGCGTGGATATCAGGGTAAGAGATTGAACAGGAAGTGACCGAGGGAAAAGAGAAGTTCACGCACCGGATGTTGAGCCATGTGTGGTTGCCAACAGCCAGACGCGTGGTGTTTGGAATCTGACTTCACAAAAATCAACAAACAAAACCCAAGGTTTGGGCGCGCGCCAAATCCGAAACAGACCTAAGTCAGGTGTCCGTTGTCATGTTGTTAGGGCTGTTTCAGATTCGGCGATTCTGATTCCCCTGGCCAATGTGCCTCGATGGTGATTCCGTTCGTTGGTTTGGTAAGTCCAAATCCATTCGCGTCCTCACAATCGGTCTATTTGTCACCTATGGGGCGAACTCGCGTATTACCTAAACGAAGAATAAAACGCACAAGTGAAGAGCGCTTCCTAGACGCGATGGGCTGGCCCGCCGATGATGACCAACCAGTCGAAGAACAAAGAGCTGAGTAGGTATCACGTTGTCCGCTAGGTGGAAATACGACGTAGTGCAACCATTGACCCTTCGTCTGGCGCCCAGTGGAAACCAAGCATTCCAATGCCACCTCAGTGTGTCTGGCAACTCCGCTCCAATCAAGGAGGACACCACAATCGAATCGAATGAAGTGCCCATCAAGGTAGAGCCGGATGACGATGAAGTGGTGATGGAATCAAATGCCGTTAGCGTGAAGGTGGAACCGGAGGCCAACGAAGAGGTGATGCAACCTGAGATCAATGCTTTATGTCAGTCCTAAATAGAGTTTGATCATGAACTACTTCGGATACTGACTTTGCCATGCCGGTGATAGATTACCGCGAAACGGCTGCGGCTTTCCCGCGAGATATCGATTATTCGACACTCAGGCGTCTGATTGTTAAAGCGTTGCTGTGGGACTATCTTGCTTTTGCTGGTTTTGAAGAAGACCAGTGTGACATGGTGGTACCAGTTCTGAAAAGCCACCATGTCACCAATTGGGACTTGTTTCTCTTTCGTGACTATTTGACTGAGGCGAAATTGTCAAGTTGGCGCATTCCTTTTGTATTCTGTGTGCGGATGGTTCTTCATGGCGAGCTTTTTTATCGTTACCTTCTTATGAAAGGTCATTGAAATTTCCAGGCTAGAAGCGGACCCTGTTTGTTGTGTTACGAAAGACATGCTAGCATAAAACATCATAAATCAGTTTCATTTCTGGATGCTTTGGTTGTCAGAGTGGACCCCAATCAAATTAGTTCCTGTTGGTTACGTTACGTGATCAGTGCAATGCTAAAGTAATAACAATAGGGGTTATTGTCGGGTGCTTTGGTTGTCAGGTGTGTCTTAAAATATAATCTTAGGATGTCACATTTTATTGTTTGCGGAACTGTGGCTCATCAAACATGAATGAGCCTAATGGTGTACTTGCAATGCCATCGGATTGAGGTTAATTTGGTAAAATGATTCTACCAAAAGGAAAATACACGATGGGATCTTGATGGCTTAATTAATGATGAACATTTAAATCAGCATGCTCCTAACCATTCCTAACCATGCCTACCCAAACTGTGATTCCGTATCTGTGGCACCGCCCCACCTTCCTTTTTGGGGTTTGTCATGCCAGACGCTCAGCCCCTTGTTAATAGCGCGAGTCCAATCTTTGGGCATGCCTGGGGGGAATATCAGGTCCGTCGCCTCACGGTGGATTTTGCTCGAGTATTGGGCGGCGCTATTGATCACATACGAATTGGTGACCTCGTGGTGGATGGCCCACACTAACGTCGAAGAGGCTTGCCGTTCAATCCGCTTGACGTGGTTCTTGGTCACGTTGCAGTGTGCATCGTGACAATTGTGTTGGACGTTCAAAATACACTGAACGTCCTACACCAGGATAGCACCATAAGACCCCAATGCCAATGACAGCTCGGTGACTGTAGTTGAAACGTGATGGTCACTGACCTGCACACTTTTCCATATGGTCTCTTCCATGACCTGGACCTCCCGCATGCCATAGAACGGCAGGTAACCGCCTCTTCGGCAAGTCCGGAGGACCAGAACCGCCTTAGAATCCACCAGGCCTTCTGGCCTCCATATCGATTGCACCCTGGCAATTTCCGCTGACTGAGCAAGCTGCTTGACCAGGGCGAAGGGATCTCTCAGCAATCGAGTATTCAAACTTCTTAAACTCGAAGTGGCCATGTACTCACCCAGACAAAATCGTGGCATTCGACTTTTTGACCGCGCACCAAATTGATTGATTGATATTGTTTTAATGCCCGAAAATGCGGTGACGTCGCCAACAAGGCTGGAGGAGCTGTCTGAGGGTCAGTCAGGCCTACACAGACGGGGTCAGATTTGTCCGTGTATTAGTGTGAAAACCCGGCCAAACTTACGGCCAATGCAAACGGTGTCCGGGTTGCCTAGCGAAGAATCCAAACCCATAGCCTGGTACAGTTCGGGTATTGATTGTAACAGGATTCGTAATTTAGTACCTCCGAAAACTCGTTTTTCTAGTTCGTGATCATAGAAAGATGATGCTGAAATCAACAATCTCAACATCAGGCGAGTGTTGAAACTATTTGCAATGTCTTGGCCCGGGCCGTGATGATTTGAGTGAGTTGAGGCATGCCGCACAACACCGTTGAAAGATTCAAACTTCTCTGTTGCAAACAGAGAAGCAGGGCCAAACCTTCGGATGGAATCTTGCAGGTGAACCAGCATATGGAACTTGGGTTTGTTCACCCAGCGTGCATTGAGGGAGATGAGTACCTTGAGGAATCTGCTTATGTGACTATCTAATTCTTCTAGGTATTTCTTCATGTCGGGGATATTGGTCTGGAATATGTACGAGCTGAGATTGCACAGCTCAATCCACATAGCCCTCTTCTCGTCGGAGATATGTTTGAATAAGACAAATGGAACCATCTGCAAGACCGTGCGGAATTCCTTACCGATCATGCTTTGATAATAAGTGATAAACACATTTGGCTGAATCGGCGGTACCTTCAAGCCTTTGGTACTGACTGATCGCCATCTACCCAAAATGTTGTTGTACAATTTCGAACCGGGTTTCGTGTTGCCTATATCTTTCATGGAATCACCAAAAAGATACTTCGCAATTCCCAATAATGCAACGTGTAGCACCTCCACTGGCGTATCGGCATGTCCATCGAACCCTGGCAAATTGGTCAATGAAGTCAGTGTCAAAGAAATGTGCTATAATTGCAAGAACATACCATTAAGCCTCAAAAACGGATTGAATAAATGATCGCCATATTTAGCATTCAAGTCCTGACATACTTTGTGGACCTCAGCCGGGGGCAGAGTCTCGTGAGCGATATTGACGGTCTTGCCGAAATATTCGTTGAGGGTGTCTTTAACACCAAATTCGCGAGATAATGCTTCAACACGAGTCTTCTGGTTGCGCTTTTGGGCTGTCTCCCAAATATACTTGGTTCGCTGACGGGTGAGAGACCAATCGCGGGACGGGAGTCGACACTGCGCAAACGGGTCACCATTACGCAGAACAAGGTGATAAAAACATCATCAGTAAGCAGACTCGCGATATCATTGGTGCATCATACCTTATTACCGTGTGTGTCGACCCCCATGAAAGCCCGTACAAAGCCGGCCGTTTGTTTTTCGGCCATTTTTTCAGCGGACAAATGACACATGCGGCATGGACTTAAAGTGTTTGCCGGATTGAGCGTGTTTGTGACTTCCGCATGCATGGGCGAATCCCCGAGGTGGCACAGTGGGACTGGCATTACCAAAACCTCTTCGCCAAGGTACTGGTCATAACCAATAAACCCGTTTTCCCCGTGTTCACTGTCAGTTAAGAGATATGGGTTAATGCCTAAGATTATCACAATCAAAGATTAGGAGAGCACTTACTTTAGATTGTTGACAATCTTGTCAAATAATTCCAGTGCACCAGCACAATTGTAAGTCGCAAGGAAATGAACGTTATATTCCTGATTCGATAATTTTGGCGGCAGTCCAGCTAATGTAAAATAAACACACATGTGTTTATTCCATTTTTTGGATACGTTACCCGACGTGTCATCTGAGTATATAGTTATTGGGACATGTCGGATAACTCTACCTCCGGCCTTTGCTCTCCAGCGATTTTCCACGGTGTGCGATGGGTGAGTCAGATCATCGGGATCTGTGGGAAATTGTGAGGTCAGATCCAATCACCAAAGTCACCTATGATTCATGACCAGGAGAAAGCTCTACTGACGGTACATGTAATCCCCACAGAGTTCTATGAGCCAAACTCCTCTTTCGAGCTCAATCTCCGCCAGGCTTTTCCATATGTCTGTGCACTTGATGGTGATCATGATTTCGGAGTCAAAAGTGGGTTCTTGGGGTATGATGATCTTCATACATCGTGGATGATGTGGATCGGGGATTACTAATGCCGGGAGACACTTCGCCATTAGGCACTGGTCTTGCTGGTAGAAGAAAACCGGGACAACGAGCTGGTGTGTTTGCAGTTGCACCGGCTCGTAGATGTAGTAGTGACTTTGATTTGCTGTGATCATCTGGACTCGTAGTTGGGGTGAATAAAGCTCACACCACTTTTTACACTGTGAGAACCGGTTTGTTGCACCATTGATCGTGAGTTCTGGGACATACACCATATGAGGGCTAACCAAAGGGTTCGCCAACTCCTAAAAGTAACAGTCAGCACAATCAAACGACATTTCGGTTAGGTTGTCAGACTTTGACTCACATTCATGATTATAATCTTGATGTCCAACCCAAACAGAGGGTTGCCACATGGGCTGGTCCGTTCACGAATCACTAGGCCTAAATTCTTCTTGACTCGTTTGACAACAGCCCTGAGGGTACTCCAATCCGGAAGGGTTATAGCAAGAATTCGTAGGATCGAGCGTATGCGCTGGTATTGGGTGCGTGAGAGGAGATTACGAGTTGATCCGATCATCAACAATGCTGCGACATGCTGCAACCGTCAAAAGGTCAGTGTTTTTGCCCAGGGTGTGGGCACAAAAGTGGTCGCACTGACCTCAATTTTTTTGAATGGATACCATTCGGCAGCGTCTTGAACGCTGACGTTGGCAATGTCTTCTTCAAGCGCTGCCTCATCCAACGCCTCATTGTCGTCGTCGTCTTCGTTTGCAAGCGCTTCAAAGGCTGCACGCAGCCTATCAAATCCCATTCCACCGTCGGAATCGTCGGAATCTGCATCGTTGTGACCCCAGCCAAGGTCAAATGGGTCGGTGTTATCGAGATCAAGCCCACGTAGCAGGGTCAGAGGTGAAGGGGGGTCTGAGTTATCCAAGTTGTCTCGAGAGAAACCAAGAAGTTATTGAGATTGTCCAACGTGGGCGATGGTGATTGTCGTCTGGCGTTTTCAATTTGCTGGCGGTAAGCGTGATCCGCCTCCTGTTGTGCGAGAAAAGCTTGTACCGCGTCGAGATGGGACTTAGATGAAGCATGAGGATATATCGTCTTCATGCTGTGGCCACCTTTGCATACGCTGCATTTGTATCTGGTGGGACCGTGGCGTTGTGGGTGTGAGGACATATCTGGAGGACAAATGCGTCAGTAGAAGATCAAAGCGTTGACTGGTGAATAATGAAAATCAGGACTTACATTGAGGCAGTTGAGGTGGCATTTTGGTTATGGTGGTGGTGTCGCTCTCGTGGTGCTTGCAAATCGGTGACTTGTGCGAAAATAAAAAACTGGCTCCGGGTAATCACTCAGGGCTCTGGCCGGGGCCATGACAGGAGGTCTGGCGGCGGTCCACTCACT